CTTGGTCTTCGTCCTTGCGCTTGTTCACTCCTTACAGCGCCAGACAGAGTAGGGCGGGCAAGACAAGGAGGGTGATGATCACTGAGCTGTATTAAGCTGATAATTCACTGGTGTCCGCCTCCAGGGGCTACTCCCCTCGGGTTCTTATACTCGTTATTCCGTGATCATTTAATATGCATTCTACGAGAACTGTGGCGTTCCCCCTGATCACCGATGCGGCGCAGTGGGGGTGGATGTGATCTCCATTGTGTCGAATCACTACCTGACGATCGTTCCCCGTCTCACCAACTGTTTCCCCGACCTGACCCCTAACATCATCTCCCCTTCTTAGGTCTTTGCAACTTCTTCGGGTATCTACGCTTGAAAGCCTCCAACAACCTGGGACAGTGACTGAGATTGCTCTCTGGTTCCCAAGTGTTATCCAAGTCGGAGTAGCCTTGCCACTTGATTAGGTACTTGAGGGTCTTCCCGAAGTATCGAGCATCCAGGATGTCTTGAACCTCGTATTCCTCTTCACCGTCAACTTCGACTGGTGCCGGTGGCGGCGGAACTCGGCCCGTGATTTGGTTAGCATGATACGGTTCAAACATGCTCACATGAAACACGGGATGTATGTGCATGGTGTCTGGTAGGTCGAGCTTAAAGGCGACTGGGTTCACCTGAGCGACAATGCGAAACGGTCCCAACTTTACGTAATCGAGCTTGGCGTTAGGACGGCGGGTCTTGATATTTCGTCGTACTAACCACACTTGTTGGCCAATTGCAAAGTTGTGGTTGATCCGTCGGCGGTTTGCGAAGCGGCTGGAATCTTGTTGGGCCTTCTTCAAGGTCTGATCGAGGAATTTGCTGATCGATTGTATTCGTTCCAGATGGGTGGCAACAGCTGGGGTGTTGTTTTCTTCGTTGTTGTTTGCCTCCATATCGCCTCGAGGATTGAATCCATAGTTGGCTTGGAAAGGAGAGACCCGAGAGCTTGCGTTCGCAGCGTTGTTGTGGGCGAATTCGGCGAACGGCAGGAACTGACTCCAATTGTCCTGTTGATAGCTTACAAAACATCGTAGGTATTGCTCAAGCGTTTGGTTGACTCTCTCAGTTTGTCCATCCGTTTGTGGGTGGTAGGCGGATGACATCTTCAACTTGATGCCGAGGCTAGAGGTCAGTGCCTTCCAAAACTGAGAACGGAATTGGGGGCCCCGATCAGAAACAATATCGTGGGGTAGACCGTGAAGGCGGAAAACGCATTCTATGAATAGCTTGACTAAACCTGCGGCATCGATGTTTTCCTTGCAGGCTGCGAAGTGTGCTTGTTTGGTTCTGCGACACACGAACACAATGATCGAGTCAAAACCCCCAGATATGGGTAGCTTGACAATGAGGTCGACGCTGACTGACGACCAAGGGGTAAGGGCCACGGGTAACGGCTCGAGGAGTCCGTATGGCTTATGACGTCCCATCTTGCTTCGTTGGCAAACTTCGCACGTCTTAACATAGTTATTGATGTAGCGTCGTATACCTGGCCAAGTAAAGTCGCGGTACACAAGATCGAAGGTCCTGTTCTGGCCTGGGTGGCCGGCGACGGGTGAATCGTGTCGTGCCTTGAGGATTTCCAACTTTCGATCCTCTGAGGTGATAAGCTCCCTATGGTTTTGCGCTCTTTGAACGGCTCTGCCCCAGCATATTTCGGGGAGCAAAATCAGGTTGCGGTTGTCGTAACCATCTTCCCCTTCAGGAGCGAAGTCGCTCCTTCTGGACAAGGCGTCCGCAATGGTGTTCAAATGGCCCGGTGTAAAACAGAGTCTGAAATCGAATTCCGAAAGGGCCTCCGCCCATCGGGCGTGCCTTTGCTTCAAGAGGCGACGAGTACGGAAAAATGTTAGGTTCTTATGGTCTGAATACACTAGTATCTTGTGAGCTCCGACAAGGTAGTGCCTCCAAAACTTGAAAGCCTCGACGATGGCAAGGAGCTCTTTATCATGAACGGTGTAGTTTCGTTCCGCGCTGTCCATCTTCCTAGAGAAAAAGGCGACAGGGTGGAGGTCCGGTAGATCGTCTGCTGGCCCTGGTTGGGACAATACGGCTCCAAGAGCGAAGTCGGAGGCATCCGTTTGCAAGATAAACGGTAGCGTCGGGTCGGGATGGCGAAGTACCGGGGCAGAGGTAACCGCCCTCTTTAGTGCGATGAAGGCTGTCTCCGCTTGGCAGTTCCAAGCAAAGGTCTGCGACCCCTTTGTGAGATCGGTGAGAGGTTTGGCTACTTCCGAGTAATGGTCGATGAATCGACGGTAGAAATTGCAGAATCCCAGAAAACTCTGGACGTCCTTGAGGCGTGCCGGGGTTTTCCAGTGGACGATTGCGTCAACCTTATCGGGTGCCATAGCGAGACCTGAGTCAGACACGATATAGCCCAGAAACTCCAAGCTTGTTTGGTGGAATTGACACTTTTCGAGTTTGGCGTACAAGCTGTTGGCGCGGAGTCGCTCCAAGACGGTACGGACGTGTTTGATGTGAGTTTCGATATCGGGTGAGAAAACTAGAATGTCGTCTAAGTAGACCACGACGAAACGGTCAAGGATATCCCTGAGGATCTCGTTCATCATGCTTTGGAAAACCGCAGGGGCATTGGTTAACCCGAAAGGCATAACCAGGTATTCGAATTGGCCGAACTTTGACCTGAACGCGGTTTTCCACTGGTCTTTAGGATTCATGCGAACGAGGTTATATGCCCCTCTTAAATCGATTTTGCTGAATATCTTGGACTGTCCCAATCGGTCCAGAAGTTCAGAGATGAATGGTAACGGGTATCGGTTCTTAATCGTCAAATCGTTGAGGTCCCTATAGTCCACACAAGGTCGAAGGGAGCCATCTTTTTTCTTGACAAAGAATATTGGGGCCCCGCACGGGGACTTGGAAGGTCGTATGAATCCTTTCTTTAGCATATCCTCGATATACTCTTCCAGTGCGTGCGATTCGCTCGGGGAGAGGTTGTAGAGTGGCTTGAATGGGGGTACAACTGACTCATCCTTCAAGGGGATATCGCAGTCGTAGGGTCGTGATTCTGGGAGCAGTTCTGCCTTGGTCTTTGAGAAGACTTCGCTCAGATCGAGGTAATCCACTGGGATATTCGACGTGGATGATACAGGCTCTGATTCGGTACCACGAGTGGTGACCTGAGCTGGTTGGGGAAACGGATGGAAATTGTGTCCCCTTGCCTCGGTATCTAGTTTCTGGGGTATTTGGCAAGAATGGGGTTGGTGGGGGATCGATATGCTAGGTGTTGGCGGTGTAAGTGTCGTGGGGAACTCTGTGGGGTTCACAAGGAGACACGATGAGGGCTCGAGTCCTTTATGGCGGTCGCGTCTATGCACTGAGGTTATATCTAAAGTTCCACAAGCCCAATGGATCGTAGGGTTGTGTTTCTGGAGCCACGGTAACCCGAGTATAACTGAAAACTCTTTCGAGTTACAGCTGAACAGGCTGAAAGAAAGGTATTCAGAATACGAAAGGGTATCAAAGGTTATAGGGAGTGGGTCTGTCTCTTCCTCAATGAGCACACGCGTTTGGTTATCGGCGAGGTAAACAGCCATTGGGTGATCGCGTTCCCGAGTTGGCACACCTTGACTTTCCGCAAGGTGGCTATCAATAAGATTGCAAGACGATCCAGAGTCCACTAAGGCGGAGAGGTGGAGGTGTGTTTTGTTTGGTAAAGTGACTGTGAGGGGTATAACGAGATTTCGGACATTGTGCACGGGTTGGCTTAATAGGCAAGCCGTGTCCGATGTGGGCCGGGTTGTAAGGTCCAGGCTTAGGCCCATTAATTGGCCCGGACCCTGAAGTTTGGGTGCTGAGTGCGCTTCTGAGGGCATGCTTTGGCTTGGTGTCCAGCTCCACCGCAGTAAAGACACAGCCCCTCCTTGAGTCGGCGATCCTTTTCTTCACGAGACAGAGGTGTCCTGGTTGTCGCCTGGACGGAGTCGACTTGCATGGGTTCGTAGCGTCCGGGGTTGTGGCCATTGGCGGGGCTGCGCGGGACCCTGGAGCTGGGTGGGACTTGGACGCGTTCCATCCGGCGTGAGAAGAGGCGTTTGTCCAGTCCGATGCAGAGCCTGGAAAGCTCGTCAAGGTTCTCGGGAATTTGGATTGTCTGTGAGAGCGAGTCCTTGATTGCATCATTCAATCCGTCATGGTAATGTTGAAGTAGGGCCACATCGTTATAGCCGGACTCCAATGCCAGCTGCTTAAACTGTGTGGTGTAGGAAACACAGGAATTTCGACCTTGTTTCAAGGTTTTGAGTCGGGCACGCGAGGTCCAAACTGCGTGCGGGTCGCCGAAGGTATCGTTCATGGCGATCCAGAGGTCCTCAATGGAGGCGGGGTGCTGACCGAGTGTTCTAAACCACGCCAGAGCCTGGCCGGTGAGGAGAGTACTGACGTACATGACTTTAATGTGGTCGTCCGGGAACCGAGACGGTTGGAGAGCTATGACATTTTCGACGTTGGCGCGGAAGTTCTTGATGTCTCGGGAGTTGCCGGAGAATTTCTCGGGGTTAGGGACCTTCGGTTCCCTAGCTTGAGCATGGAGGGGGACCAGTTGCTGAGGTTGTTGTTGGGCCATTTGGAGTTGTTGTTGGAATTGCTGCTGGAGGTGCAGGAGGGCCTGCTGCTGCTGCTGGCACTGAGCAGTCAGAGCAGCTACCTGTTCTAGGAGTGCCTGGTTCTGGTCCGCCATACCTTGAGTGAATTATGTTGTCAGGGATGCGAGACGTGGTCGGGAGGAACGGCAGGCGCCAGACAGAGTAGGGCGGGCAAGACAAGGAGGGTGATGATCACTGAGCTGTATTAAGCTGATAATTCACTGGTGTCCGCCTCCAGGGGCTACTCCCCTCGGGTTCTTATACTCGTTATTCCGTGATCATTTAATATGCATTCTACGAGAACTGTGGCGTTCCCCCTGATCACCGATGCGGCGCAGTGGGGGTGGATGTGATCTCCATTGTGTCGAATCACTACCTGACGATCGTTCCCCGTCTCACCAACTGTTTCCCCGACCTGACCCCTAACAAAGCAGGATGTTGGCGATCTGGGCGGCAGCGACGGACTTGCCGACACCGGCGACGGCATTGACCCACAGGACAGTGTCGGCGTTGTCGTCGTCGTCGACCCAGGCAGTGACATGGTCAAACAGCCACTGGCGGGTGCCCTCGACATACAGATCCTTGAGCGCCTTCCGGTCGGGGTCAAAGTCGATGGGATCGAGCAGCACGCGGAGCTGCGAGTCTTCGTCGGCAGCGAGGACGATGGGTCGGCTCTGGTGGTAGAGCTCGCCATCGAACGTTGCTCTCTTTGACTTGGAAACGAGCTCGCGGATGTTTGGCACAAGTCTGTGGTACTAGAGATAGATCAGAAGTGTGTCATCTTCACTTCTTATTGCTTGGTCTTGGACGTACCGCTTCAATGCGTTTCCGTCAACAGCATCAAGTGCCTGAATCTGCATCAGCTCCTTGAAAGTCTGACGGATGGTCATTGGACGGCCGTCAAACAGCGGGCTCTTTCGGTGAGCCGGAGCTGAATCCGGGAAGTCGTTTGGGTTGGGAAAGTATTTCTTCTGGAGGACCTCGCCGCCCAGTTGCTTTGTCGACCAGACGTAGACGGGTTGGGTGATGATAGTGCTGCCAGAGGCAGCAGCGTCCATCATTGCCTTGAGAGCATGTTGCACCTGCGACGAAAACGTTTCTGGCCATCAGTTTCACCCGATCTGGCGTTGTGGAGACAACGCCGTTGGGCCGATGCACGATTGGCCTACCTCGAGAAATTGGTTATCGGGGACCAAATGGGCTTCATGCGTTCGCTTTAACCCCTCCTCGGAGAGCAGCAACACAATCACTGGCGATCGATGGAGGCCGTTGATGAAGCCCTGCTCCCAGTCCTGGCCGTCGCGAAGGCACAGGTGGTCGAGATAGGGATGCAGCTCCTCCTCGCTCTTCTTCCTGGACGTGAGCGCGCCGACGAGCAGATTGGCTTTATCGCTCTCGCTCGAAACTCGATAGCTGCATGGCGATCGATGTCAGTATAGTCTGGTGCTATGATGTTGAGTGTCCAGGTGGCTGTTGACGGATCGTACCTGATGAACACATCGTGGTTGCTGCACTCAAGCTGGCACTCCCAGCGTGGTAGAATCTCGGCTGGTTGATAATATTCTGGGCCGCGAGAGACTGGCACGAGGCTGTAAGTCTCGCCGGTAACTCCAGAAGTGCCGTGCTGGCTGCTACTCGCCACAGCGACCCCAGTTACCGCTGCGAGGGGTGGAGCATCTGGGCCGCCAAGTCTGTGTTCTTTCTGTGCCTTGAGGACCTTCTTGATGGTGCCGCCCTTCATTTCCATCTCCTTCATGTCCTCCTCGGTCAGCTCAAGGATCTATGATGGCAAGAAGCATGAGCCGCAGTCCTGTTTATCTGCAGATCGGAATGTCACTTACAAGATCGATTGTGTCATAGTCGTTCTCCAGGAACAGGTTTTTGCTCTTCTCCAGCCCGTATCGCTTCAAAAATTCATCAAAGTCGGCTGTTCATACGAATCCCGCAGAGTCAGCAGCAAGTCCCTTCGGCGGTGCATGAGTCTTGGTTGGATCCGCGGAGGTATGGGGGTCGATACAAACCCTGGCTCATCTTGGTGGTGGGATCGATGGGAATGCAGATCTGAGCGGGACACTGTTTTGTCCCAAAAGCATCCACAATCCGATGCCCAAGAGCACCATCCATTGCCGGCGCACCGCCTTGGCTGATTGATCGTGTGATGCACTTCTGGAACTGAATCAAGGACACTTCTGTGAGCAGCATCACTGCCAGCCCAAAATGCGCTGGTTTCGAGGATATTCACCCTTGCCGAAGGGCAGAACCAGCCATCGGCGCTTCTCTCTCGCACAGATGGAGACATGCTGGACTGCACTTCAGCCTGACGAGGCGACGGCGACTCAAGCGACTCGATCTCCAGGTGTGCTCACAGTGCTGGGAAGCCAAGCGACTCGAGAAGGCCGAGTATCTTGATGTCGAGAAACCATGGAGCTGTCCACAGAGTCGAATGCATCCATCACACTCCCACATCACCACAGGAGATCAAGTGTATTCAAGACCATGCTTCCAAAACCAATCAAAACAAAGAGATTGCCAACCAGGACGGGAAATAACCGCACAGCTGCAAGCCAACAGCAGCCTACGGAAGTTCCGCAGGCTTCAGGCCGCTGATGCCAGACAGTGACTGTTCCGTTTCCCTTTGGATTAAATGTGGTATAGCTGCCATATGGAACTACTTCTCCCACCAGGTGCCGATGATGCCTTCTTGAAGCCAATTTGATCATATATATGTCGATAGCGACAGATTGTCTAACTTTTTTGGTCGGCCGTACTTATGTGAACCGAGATGCATTTAGCCACCGTCCGAGTGAGAGCTGCTACAATCCTCCTCCTGGCCGGATATGGGCACGAGTGTTAGAGGCAAAGGTTCTGCTCTCACAATCAAGACTCGCTGGTTTCCTCAAGCTTCTCCTCCCACCGTCGCTCTGTCCTCTCGAGTTCCTGCCGCCCACCTTGCCGCTGTCCTCGGGCCACGCTACACGTTTTCAATCTCCAAGGAAAGCTGCAGTGGCACCTGGCCTCATGTGGAAGCGCCCGGTCTGCTGCTTCCGCAGGCAGTTCGCCTCGTTGTCACTACCTTGGTCAGTACCGTGGGCCGTGGGTGTGTCTGGCAGCGGCAGTCTCCTGGCATCCCAGTGGCCCACCAATCTTTGGCTGGCAGCGGCGTGGGTCAGGGCCCATTTGTCTTCTCTTTCTTGCTCTGTGTGGTGTGAACCGACAACGCCTGACTCGTCATTTTCCCGCTCAAGGATATCCCGCCTGACTGCGCGGATTGGCCTTGGAGGCTCCGAGTCTTTGCTCTGATCTCCACCGTCTGCCCGTTGGTGCCTGCGGATTGCCTCCTGCAGAGATACACATCGTCTACAATGCTACTGCAATTCGTCTCTCGGGGTCCCTGTGCCGTTCCGGCGCTTTCTTCTTTTCGTTCGTCGGCCGGTGGCGCCAGGTGGCCGCAGAACGTGCTCAAGCACCTCGTCCCTCTTTCCGCAGCATAAATTTCGCGCCCGCGATCCTCCCAGTCGCAAAATCCACTCGCTTCCATCGTTGGCTCGCCCTTCTATCTGCCTCCCTCTCCAAGCCTCGAGCCGTATCCATGTCCTTGGCGCAGAAACCCGTCCCCAAGGCCACCGGCAAGCCTTTGACCGCCGCGACTACTGCCCTTGCGGTTGTGTCTTTCCTCTCGTTTGTGTTTGGCTGGATCTTCGTCTACTTCCTGATTGTCAATAAGACTTGGTGCTTTGCCGACTTTTGTGTCGAGTCAATGGGGTCTCGCAAGAACCCCGTCCGAAACACCTTGGCTGTATTTTACGGCTTTCTTATCCTCTCTGCCCTGGTTACCCTTACCGCGAAGTATCGCCCGTCCTTCAAACGGGTCCTTGAAAGCCGCCCCTTCGCCACTTCGACCCTGACTGTCGCCGAGATTACCTGGTTTACCTTGGCGATCGTGATATCCAACATTGTCATCCCCGGAATGATCTGGGTTCCCTACTGGAACATGTGGGTCTCGATGTTATCCATGACAGGCATGGATATGGGCCGTGGATTCCAGGACATGAACTGGCCATGGATCCGTATCGTCTGGCAGACTCTGACCCTGACCACAGGCGACTCGCTTGCGGTTCTGCTTGGATTTGTGGTGCTGTTCATCTCCAAGCACTCATTCCTCTTGAGCCTTTTGGACCTTCCCTACCCCTCCACGCTTCGGATTCATCAGTGGCTGGGATATTCCATTTTGGTTCTCACATGCATCCACTTGATTGTCACAATGCTTGCCTATTCTCTTGATGTCACCCCTTTGTACCAGCTCTTCTTCACCGTCCCCGCGGGCTCTCCTTGGGGTTCTTCACAGTACCTCTACGTTCTCGGACTTGCGTCGTTCCTCTTTCTGGCTGTGGTCACTTTCCTGTCGCTCCCTCGCATCCGCCGACTGCACTTCAATCTTTTCTACTTTGTCCATTTCCTCATCTTCGTTTCGGTCGTCTTTGCATATCTTCATGCCTCCATGTCCATTTTCTACATGATCCCTGGACTCATCATGTACGGCCTGGATGTCGCTGTGCGCCTCTACAAGAGGTACACACGCTCGCTGGTTAAGTCAGCACGCCTGGAATGTGGCTACTGGATCGTCTCGGTTGATGTTGCCTGTACTGGGCCGGACTGGAAGCAGTTCAAAGCCGGCCAATTTGCGCGCGTCTGTGTGCCCTCCGTCTCTAGCATCGAATACCACCCTTGGAGCATTGTCGCCTTCAAGGACGGATCAGCAAGCTTCATTGTCAAGTCCACGAAAAATCCAAACGAGTGGACCGCCCGTGTTGTCCAAGTACTCAAGTCGTCGGATGCCACCTATTTGAGTGTCCAAGGCCCTTTTGGAAATCCAATCCATAAATTTGCCTCTCAATCCGATATCCTGGTTGCGTATGTGGCTGGCTCTGGAATCGCCCCAGCTATTCCTTTGATTTCTCAGGCCAGGGACACCGGTGACCATGTGCCCAAGCAAACGATTCTCATCTGGGTCGCGGCTGCCGACAATATGCACGAATTTTCCCCCATTCAGGATCTCAGGGAACACGGCGTCAAGATCATCCTCTTTAACACCTCGCCCAAGTCCTCTGCCGAACCTCGGGCTGACACACACCAAGGCCGACCCTATCTCCACTCCCTTCTCACCGCACATGTCGCCCCTGCCTTTGCTAACGAGGCTGTTAAGCCCAAAGTCGGTCTATTCGTGTGTGGGCCCGAGCGCTTCACTGAAGATGCTCTGGTTGCAGTTGATCGCTTCGGAGCGGACCAGAACTCCAGGGTTGCAGTTCACGTAGAGTCCTTCGAAATGTAAACAGTGTTTCTCTCGAGATTCCGAGGTTCTGGATAGGCCGAATCGTCTCATTCCCTTCTCAGCACCACCTCTCCTCTCAGTCCCTCCGCTCAGTCCATCCCCTCAGTACCCTTTGAGCACTGTCTGCTCGGGATCTTTCGTCACTTTGGTCCTTATGATTCTTCGTGTCAATTCACATTTCTCCAACTCACATGCCAACACAACCCTGTCGACAATCGCTCCTCAGCCCAAAAAAAATACATGCTTTGATCATCCCATGCACGGTGAGGTGGAATGGGTCCCATTCCTCTTGTCGCAACTTGACCGAGTATCACTGACCTGCAATATCAATTTTGATATCAGCCTCTGACAACGGGAAAACCGCAATTGATAGCGTTGTATGCGATGTGCTTGCGTCAAGCAAAGCCACAAGAAATAAAACAGATCACTTTGGCAGCCTCCGAGTGAAGACCACCGGTCGCTCTCCGATCTCCACAATCGACCTGCATACTGTGATCATGTTGCGCGCCGCATTGACGTCGCGATTCCACACTGTCCGGCAGCTGGGATTCTTGCAGCTCCTGACAAAGTGGGAATTCGCAACACTGGGCGCATCGAGTCCTTCCAACCGAACTGGCTCCAGGCACTTGGAGCACACCTGCGAGGTGTTGAACTCGTTCGTCGAGACTACCTTGACGCTTCCATGATGGTGATTGGGACGGCGTCGGTGGTGCTCGAATTGCTCAAAGTACCGAGCAAACCGCTGCCTCCGAGGGCTGGATGCATAGCCCTTGCCCTGTCGCCATGATGCATTGCCAAAGGCGATCACCACATCGGTCCGTATTGGGGCGTGCTTCAGGACGGCCTTGCACATCTTGTCGACGGTCACTTGGCGTCTCCTGTGGCCCGTGAATCGATGGTGACGGGCCTTCTTGCCAAGGTGGAAGTCGAGCTGCACTCGCAGCTCCGGTCGCAGGACATGGGTGAGATGGACCTTGAAGGCCTCCGAGGACGACACCTTGGGCGAGGGAGTGGTCGACATCCAGGTCTCGATGCTGAGTCGATACTTCATGATATTGTGCCACTTGGTGTTGGACGTATGGCCACACATTTGCTGGTAGTGGCCATTGGAGAATGAGACCACCTCGTCTTGGTGGCCTGGTGCTTGGATGACCGCCGTGAAGATGGAGCCGACTCCAGGATCGATGCCAATCCAAGTGGTGCGATCGGGGTTTGGGTCGCCGATGTGGGCCTGGATACGCTGCTCGGCAGTCGGAGGAGGCTCGATGGTCTCGGTGTGATCGGTTCGAGGCAGAAACTTGACGAGACCGATGGTGCATCCAATGCCATCGGTGCTGATCTCGTAGTTGAACAGCTTCTTGTTCACGTCCCGCTCTTGGAAGAGGGAACTACGCAGCTTGAAGCAACTGCGCCAGAGACGATCCTGGTTGTTGATGCCGTCCGTCAACCGACCGCGGATTCATTCCAACTTTTGCTGCACCTTTGGTCTACAGCGTGTATTCATATTCGAGATGAGCAGCCGCGAGGGGCCGGAAAAATTGATTGTGTTGGTGTCTGCTTCGTTGATCTGGGTCGCACTCAACTTTGCTGCGCACCCAACTCTGCTGCGCACCTTACCTTGCTGCGCCGCTATCGACTTGCAAAGCCAGCGGGGAGGGATGGCTCGATCCACGTGATTGGCAACGGGACAGCGCGACTTCGCAGCCCCGCTTTTCTTGGTCGTGGCCTCGGTTCGCTGAGCGGCCGCCCTTCCTTCCCGTCGCTTTTCTGGGGTGCGCTCTCCTCTCTCCCGCTCGCTTACTCGTAGATCTGCTGTGCCGGGGTATCCGCCGCTTCATCTTCCGATCAGCGACCCCTGGTCCCCCTCCCCATTCTTCAGCAACATGAGCCAAGACTCCCCCGCCACCTCTGTATCTTGGCCCGGTGCCGATCAGACTGATCTGGCTGCTGAGTGTGCCCTGCAGGCCCAGACATCAATCGCCAATCTCCTCCGAGAGTACGATTGTCTCAAAGCCAGCTCCCGAGCTCTGGGTCAGCAGCTTTTCGAAACCGAGCAGGAGCGCCTGCGACTGGAGCAAGCGCTCTCCGAGCTGGGGACCGCACGCCAAGCGGACCTTCACTTGCTCGACGAGGAGCGGTCGGCCGCCGAGTTTGAGCGAGCTGAGTTTCTGAAAAAGGTTGATCAACTCACAAGCTCGGCTCATTCGCATGAGGCTGAGTCGGAGCAGCTGAAATGTCGCATCGACGTCCAAACCAAGCTCGTTATCGCAGCCCTGGGCGATCAGCGTCAGATCCAAGATGGCTCCGCAACAAGTCATTCCTGCGATCTTGGAACCATTGACGAAGGTCTTAGCCGCGCTTTGGATGAAAACCAACAGCTTATTCGAAACTTGAGCCGCTCCGTTGATGAACGATCTGCTGAAATGTCAATACTGCAGACTCAGCACCAAGTGGCCCTCGAGAGGCTGCAGGAGCGATTCAGCAGCAGTCGGGACGATAAAATCAGGTCAATGCAAGCCCTGGTCGAAGAAAAGGAGCGGCACTCATCCTCTCTCCAGGATCAGCTCCAGTCTTTACAAGCTCGGTCTGTTCAGCTGGAGGAGTCGCTGCAACTGCTCCAAGACCAGCTGGCAGCCCGCCAGGCCGAGTTCGAGGCCCGCACAAATTGCTTGCATGACCAACTTGCTGAAAGCACAGTGCAGATCCAGAGCAAGTCAGAAGCACTTGAGGCCCTTGCCGTTGACCTGGTAGGCACCCGTTGAAAATATGCCCTTTGTTGTCGATGCCGTGTTGCTATATCAAGCTATGACTGATGAAACTAACATCGCTGCGTATAACAGCATGCGCAAAAGATGGACATGGCCTTACTCAAAGCCCAAAATCAGGAATCTACCGAGCAGAGTGCCCATTGGCATTCAGAGTACCTGGCGACGCTGCGCTGTCTTGACGCTGAGAAGGTCGTCTCTGCTGATTTGCGTAGGACAATTGAGACCCTTGAAGCCCGAATCGTCGATCGAGATGGCGAGGTTGAGTTGCTCAGCGCACAAGTAGATCGGCACTCAGCCGCCCTTGTGGAGAATTCGACACAACTCAAAATGGCCCATGAGCAGAGACTAGATCTTCAAGCTCAAAGTGAATCAGCGCTCCATACGGCTCGTCGAGAGCATGAAGCGGCGACTCAGGCTCTCGCGAATCGGCTTAGCAGTGTCGAAAGCGACCTTGTCTGCGCCTTGAGCGAAGTTAAGGTGTGGAAGGATAAACGTGAATCACTAGAGTATATTTCTGCGCTGGAGATCCACGAAGCCTCCGTGAGCGAAAAAATAGCGAAGCCTCTCGACGAAGTTGCCAACAAATTTCTTCAACGCCGACTTTGTGAACTCGAACGAGATAAATCACTGGCACTCTATGCCCTTGGGCTTTCAAAGGGGATCCGCCAGATCCAGAAGAAAGTGCGAAAGTTGGTGCCGCCTTCATATGTGAACCATGACATTATTCAAGACTATCCGGTACTCCGATCATTCGTCGAAAGCGCCTCGGACTCTGAGTCTGATTCTGAAAGTGACCGCCTCTCAGAATCGACAGCATTCTCACATGGCGATGGTATGCATCACTTGCAGTTGGCGGGAGAGTGGACGTTAGCTCCAGCAACGAGCTCCATATCTGACGCGATTATTGCTTCACACTTGATGCTTCCATCACCGACTGTTCTCCGTTGCCTTAATGCAGTCGTGCTGCCAGAGGCCACGGAGAGATGTGATCTCGGTGTTGAAACGTTCCCCCACCCCCAAGATGATCCATCAACATGTCCGTGCCCCTTGCCTGCACAGCTTGATGCTGGCCTTCGTGACCTTGGCAAGGTGTCCCATGCCATGACCGAGCTCCAAACTGTCTTTAGCATCTATATCGCTGAGAAATCTCGACCTGAAATCCAAGAGCAATATTACAAGCTGCATAACGACCACACAGACCTTCTTTGCGAGTTTGAGACGACCCAAGCGCGGCTTGTCAAGCAGGAAAAGGATCTTGAAATCGCTCATGACGCCCACAGAGAATCGCATCGCTCCATAGTTTCGTTGAATGAAAAGATGGCAAGCTTAACTAAGGATCTCCGCGAGAAAACCGAGACTATTGAGGCGCAACAGGCCCAATCGTATCGAGATTCGCAAGCCTGGAAGGAAAGGCTCGATCGCGTCGCCCATGAGGGCCAGACGACTCTTGCGGCTGCTCGCTCTCTTGCAGAGCAACATCAAGCGGAGTTGGACGTTGTTCGACAGAACTGTCAAGAGAGAGAAGAGGAGAACGACTTACTGCGTGCTGATATTACCAATATCCGCGATGCTCTCGAGGCTCGAGTCGCCGAACTTGGTACCACAGCGAAGCAGCTTCTCGATTGCCAGAAAGACCTCCAAACGAACCAAGACGAGCTAAAAGATCTTCGCAAAGTCCACCGTAATCAAACGACTGAGCATATGAGCACTCTCGCATCTCACCAAGCCGAAATTGCCATGCTGAAAGAATCGAACGAAGACCTGAGAGCCTCGCTTTCCAAAGCCCAAGAACTGTCCGAGCAGTTTGAACAGGAAAGCACACGCTTCAAAAACGAATCGGCCTCTCTGAGCGGCCGGCTGGCAGAGGCGACGCTGCAACTGACTCGAGCTCATGAGCAGGCGGATGTCCTGAGAAAGACCCTCGAAGATGAGCAACGCAATCAACAAGATCTGATCAGCAGCCATTCACTGACTCAGCAGCAGCTGATCGACAGTCAGAATTGCGCACAAGCGGCTCAAGAACGTCTGGCATTCCTCCAGGGAGAATTACTAATTGCCCAAAGTTCACTCGATTCGGCGCTCACCAGTCAATCGGCTTCTGCCCAGCTTCACGCACAGGAGCTTGAAACTCTCCGATTGTCAGAGGACGCAGCCAAGGCTGTTACCAGAGCCTTGGAGAACCAAATCGAAATAGAAAAGCATGAACGATCCTCAGCGCTCCTCCGCGAGGCCGAACTAAAGAATAGGCTCGATCAACTTTTCATCGATCTAACCGAGTCGCAAGATCGCACTCGACAGCTCGAAGCAACCTTAGGGCAATCTCAAGAGACAGCTAGTTCTTTGAATATTCGCCTCGCTGAAGCGGAAAATAGCAATGCCGCCCTTCAGGAGGAGCTTGCGGCCGCCAAAACATCCTTGTCCGAATTGGCGGAAGCCAAGGCCAGTATCGAAGCGACGTGCACACAGCTGCAACACACATATGAAGTAGAAACATCCTCGCTCAACGAAATCATCAGCGCCCTCAAAGAGCAGCTCTGCGAGCAAGATCTGGCCGTGTCGCAGGAGCGAGCAATGGTCCGCCAGCTGCAGGAGAGAGTTGGTTTGCTCACAGAGCAGTACAGCCTTGCCGCAAACGAATCGTCCGCGATCCAAAGCAAGCTCGAGGCTCTCGTAACTGAACACGTCAACTCAATTGATCAGCTCAAGGTTCAGCAGGAGTCTACCAACGAAGAAGTTGCGGCACTCCGCGAAGCTGTACGCTCCGAAAAAGCGCATACGACAGTGCTCGCCGCAGAGAACACCACCCTCCTGACTCAGCTTCACCTTCTGGAAACAATTCAACTTGAGCTTCAGTCTGTCCAGACGGAGTGTGTCGAGCTTCGCCAGTCTCGTGATGAGCTTATGACCAAGCGCACGAGTCACCTTCATCAAATCGACGAACTAGAAAGTCTTGTGAAGTTGCGCTCTCAAGAAACGGATCAACATCTCAGCAAGTGTGCGCAGCTTCAGAGCTTGCTCGAAGCGAAAGAACAAGCTATCGAAACCCTTTCCTCGGAGATGAAGGCCCTCCGTGACTCGTCCGAAGCGCAGCTCAGCGCGCTTCAGGCAGAGCTTGAGTCGCATCGATTGCGGCTTGAATCGTCGCTCAAGGAACAGCAGCAGGCCCTTCGGGAGCGGGACGAGAGCCGAGCACATCACGCCCAGGCCTCAGCAGCACTCTCAGATGTCGAGGCTCAGATGTCGAATCTCAGACAATGTAACGAGGTTCTGACAGTAGAGTACGAGGGTCTCAAGCAAACCCACGAAAAACTCATTGCCTTCAAAAATTCTGAACTGGCTCGTCTGGAGCAGCAACTTGGTGCTTCGATTTGCACCGGCGAAGAGCTCACTGCCGAGGCAACCTTATTGAAGAACGACATTGCGCAAAAGCAAAACCAAATTGATGAGATCTCACTGGATCTCGAGCGACATCGCACTCGCGCTGAAGTGACTCGGGTCGAATACAAGGCACTGCAAGATGAAAGGGACATGAAAATTATCAGCCTCGAGGCCCAGATGACAGACTCGCTCTCCAAAATCAATGAGCTCCAATCCCAGTTTGAGGAATGTCGGCATCGAGAACAAAATGTCCAGAGCAAACTCGCAGAGGCTGAAGCACAGATTCTCCAGCTCCAGCTCCGCCATCAGCCCAGCCCGGCTAACGGTGCCGAGGACATCCAAAAGCTCCAATCAGACAATCAGATGTATCGGGAAACGATCAAAGCTCTGGGTGTAGCAAGTGAAGATGCAGACCATCGCGTTGCCCGCATGCAGGAAAGACTTGATGCTGTCCAGCGCCAGTTCGAGCTGGAAAGAGCCTGCCGTGAACGAACCGAAAGAACGATGAGTGAGCTAGAGAGCAGATTATCGATATCTGGACGATCAGAGAATGCCCCACTCGTCGGAATGTTGCGGGTCCATCCCATATCTCCGCAGGAGAAACTCGAGGCCGCCATGGGTGGAGCTGCATACGACCTTTCTGCAGCAGGGGCGAGTCCAGAAGCAAGTCTCCACGATAGCCTTGGAGCAAAAGCCAGGTTGTCTGGTCACCGATTTACTCTCAAACGCCAAGGTACCTGCCCGCATTATCAGTGCGGTCTGGGGTCGCCGAGTGGATAACCCTGCATGTAGGAAGACCCGTGCGGCTCACAGTTGGCACTCGCTCCCTAGGTGATGATCTTGAATCCACCGTCAAGTCCGAGTTCCCGGATCATCGTCAAGCCGAGACAGTCGGTGGTCTTGCCATGTCTGACACCAAATCGCCCAAGAAAGCTCGGATCGTCTCCGATTCTGGTATTTCAGCCCGTGGGAGCAAGTGGGGAGCGAGTGGGAGGGGGTGGTATCGAACATATCCTTGGTTCAGCAATAGAGTCTGGCAGCTTAATCTCGGACCATTCAATCAACAGCACATATTGGCGACAAGTCCGAGGAGCATTTCCCGGTCGTAAGTACCAACAAGCCCTGCTCATGGCTTTGCAAGCGCAGGTCACTCTCTGATATAGCGGCGACCAATTATTCACCTATAACCTCCCATCTGGTCATCAAATTGCTGTAGGCGACCACTACTCCAACAAAACCACCAAAGATCGACGCCTACAAGATCGCCATTTCGTTTTCCGGCTTCAAGGAAGGCACAGAGTGGAATGCGGCTCTGAAACAGGTACGAGTGAAAATTCCACAGATATGCATCCGTACCTGCACTGTTTTCGCCCCAAGGCAAGACAGTGGAACACTGGCAAGGACACCCTTCCTCGGTTTTTGCTAACTTTTTTTTTTTTTTGCAAACACCGGCTCTCGGTTTAGAAATTGGCAAACTGCATCAAGCAACTGGGCAACGCCGTGATTCTTCCCTCATCCGAGGAGTATGATAAACGAACCAGTAAGGACTCGCTTCTCCTCCAACCGTGCACCCGGCCTGTGTTTCAAACTGGAGTTGGCCGACCCTCTAAACGGCGGCGATACTTAGCGGCTTTTGGTCTGATCACGACCTTGCTTCAGCACATCTGATCAGCCCACCCACATCCAAGACCGTCAAGGCATATTCGGCCTGTCTTATGTCAAGTTGGGTCATCCACGATTACAACTGGGTTCTGCATTCGGCTGCTCGGTAGGTCAATGGCGAATCTGCTTGTGGCAATCGAGGTTTCACCGCTTAATCTACTCCGTGCACGATTATCAGGGGACGATGGGTCGAGGAAGATCCTTACGGCTTCAAGAGTACAGAGACGCCATTCAAAGGTAGGTTTTGCCATTCATACATGGGCATCGCGATCCTGCCGCTTTGGATACCTTGTGCTTGTTCGACTCACGAATCGTTGTTTGACACACACCCCTCACGCCCACTTTAACGGCATCGCACATTCAGGCAAAACATTCTTCATCGCCGATTCTTATCGCGTCGAGAACGCAAAGAAAGAGTTCAGAATTCGCTACCTGAAGCAACTTGTCGAAGACTACGGCAATGGTCATATCGGAACTGATGCTGCTTCGACTGACTTCATCATCCGGGCGGCAGACGATCGAGGGTGAGTGGCCGCTGCAGCGGACTGCATGTCCGTGAATCTGGAAAATGCCGTTTCGTCAGCGCAGAGTGCTCCGCAAGTCCACAATGGCCGGTGGCATCCGTCATACAATGCTAACCCGAGCCTGGCCTGGGTGCTGTGCTGGCTTGTGTGTGTTGTCCAGGCTCTATGATAAACCTACTCTGGACTGGAACCACTTTGTCCAGATGATCCCGCTCACTCCAAGCCCAAAGGCCAAAGCCCGATCCCAAGACACATGACGAGCCGCTGCCTCGCTTCACTTGCCAACAGTCGCCGCACAATACAGAGCACCGTTCTCGTTTCGCTTGCTGCACCGGGCCGCTCTCTGCTCTGGTGGATGGATCGGCGTGTGGGAGTCGGAATTTGGGACGCGACACAGCGCCCGATTTGGCTGGGGGCGAGGGCACGTGATCGAGGGCGCTCTCGCTGCAACGAGACCAGCATCTCGCCGGACCGGCCTCGGCTTGCTCCGCCCACCCACACCCCAGCCAAGTTTCCTTCTCCCAGCCGCGCTGGCTTGTGTCCATCTGGTCGCCCATCTCTCCGTGCCTCTTGCATTTCCCTTTCCATCGACCACCACCCCGAGCCTCTTGATTGGCCGCCCCAGTCGCATCCCCTCCATCCAAGCCGCTGCCCAGCGTTGCATCGCCCACTTCTCTGCTTGGCGAAGCTGACCTCATGGATCCAACTGGCTCTCTCGCGGCCGCGGATGCAGCCCCTCTCGCTGCAAGCACTCCCTCATCGCCCTTGTCACTGCCCTCCCACATCCTCGGCTTCTTTTCCTATTCATTTACCCTGACGCTTTCCTATAGACTCATTGTGTTTGTCGTTACTGCAACGGCACTTCTGCTGTACCTCATCGTCCGCTATGTTGTCTTGAACAAGTACACTCGGCTTCCTCCTGCCCACTCGGCCACCAAGAGCGTCGCTCCTCCGTTTGATCTGCAACCGCCCGACCACGCCGAAGACGACAAAGACGGCCACTCTCAAGGATATGCTGAAGATTTTATGAGTGCATTCCTGTCGTCCATCAAAATCTTTGGCTATCTCGATCGTCCGGTGTTCCACGAGCTTGCCCGCCACCTACAGAGCCGGAAGCTCAAGGCAGGCGAGATCCTGTTTGGAGCAGACGACGACAAGACCGATTTCTATGTCGTCGTCGAGGGCTCTGTCCAAGTCTTTGTCAAGGCTCAGAACTCTGAAGAGGAAGACCCCGCCCTGGAGCCCATCGATGATGAAGATGCCGAGTTTGGTGTCCCTGGGCATCACCTCCTCAACGAGGTTGGTCCAGGTGGCTCAGTCACCAGCCTCTTCAGCATCCTCTCCATCTTTACTGCCGATCTTACTCTGCCCAAGGAAACAGTCCTCCGAAGCCGCTCAGCCGAGCAAAGCCCCCATGAAGGTACCTTCCCCGACGCTTGGTTGCGGGTGCGTGGCTGTTGGTTGTGTGGCTGTTGGTTGTGTGGCTGTGTGGCTGTAGTATCCGAGTCTCGATGCGACTTTGCCTGTTTTGATTGAGCATTAGTTTCTCACCCAGCATCTCTCATTATGCCTTTAAATGACCGATCGAACACACCCCGACTTGACCTTCTATGTTGGTATTGTCACTGATTCATGTTGCTGACCCATGCTCTTGGCCCATCGGTCCCTCGACCGATTCTCCCCAGGAGAAACCCGGGTGTCCCCCGAGCCCACACCTTCGTTTCCAGTATTTCCTGAGCTCAAGCGCATCGAGTCCGGCAACGCCATCAACGACCCTACCCCAACCCTCGGCGACTATCGCCCTGATGAAACGGATCCCAGTCTCGAGTCCGCCCCAGATAGTGGCCGCCAGTCTGTCTTGACTGACATTGTGGCCCGAGCCGCAATCGACACCACCCTTATCGTTATTCCGGCTGAAGCCTTCCGAAAGCTCACCGAAAAGTTCCCAAACTCTGCCGCCCACATCGTTCAGGTGATTTTGACGCGCTTTCAGAGAGTAACCTTCTTGACGCTCTATCGCTATCTCGGTCTCACCAAGGAGCTGCTCAAGATTGAGAAGACCGTCAACGAATTTGCTGGATATGGCCTACCTGACGGCTTCTTCAGACCCGGCACCCTCGAACGCCTGCACAGCTACAGCGCAAACACCTATCGAGCTTCGTTTGAGACCGTATCCTTCACAGACATCGAGGCTGTCGGGAACCACAGCGTCTTGCGCAAGCCCCATCGGCCCCCGGGCCTTGCGTCTCGAACTTCGCACTCTCGCCTGAAAGTGGTCAGAAAGCCACAAGCCGAGGATTCGGACGCCGAGCCGCCCCGCATCAAAACCTCTGCCATCCCAGGCCTTTTACCCAGCGTCAAAACTCCAGCATTTACCAGCGTATCGGCCATGATCCCGCCTGAAGACGAGGAATTCATCAAACAGTCGGTCATGGATTGTATGGCTCAGATCCTGGGTGTCGGCAATACCCCCGTCGACATGCTGCTGCGTCGGCCGGCTCTATCGACCAAATCCAGTGAAGCCCCTACACCTATCAAAATCGTTATGGACGATTCGGAGGCCAGCTCAGCCCAGTCATCGACTTCCTCCTTGCCGCATGCAGCGCCACTCTCTCATGCCTCGTCTCTCTCAATGACGACCGCCGATACCGCCACGGATATGATTCAGATCATGTACTTTGAGCGCGGCGCGACACTGATAAAAGAAGGCGAGCGCAACGATGGCCTCTACTTTGTGATTGATGGCATGCTCCAAGCTTCCATGAAAACCCAGGTTGAGGTCTCTATGCAGCCCAAAGCTCGCCAAACCACCTACGATGCCGAAGTTACTGAACCCCGCGGAGTTCAAACGCGGTCTTTTCGCAAGAGTCTCTTTTTGATCAAGCCTGGTGGTCTGGCTGGATATCTTGCCGCCCTGACAGGTATGAACGTTTGTAATGGCACTCACCTCCACCGGCGGCATCTGAGAACCGATTCTGCCCTGCTCGTTCGCAATCGATTTGGGGAGGAGGCCCGCTTGGTCGTGCTGAGCAATCCTCCAGCAGCTTTCAGCACCCGCCACACTACGGCCGTTTCATGGACCATTACCGTCTAACTTGTCTCGATCACGCTTCGTTTACCACGATGGAACTAAGGCCATGCCTCATTCGTGACAATCCGAGCAAAGAAGGATACCCTCGTCGGCTTCATGTCTCGAGCCAATCTTGACCGCCTCGTGGAGCGTCATCCTGCTATTCTTCTGACTCTAGCTAAGCGACTCATCAGTCAGCTCTCCCCAATCGTTCTTCACATCGATGTCGCCCTCGAGTGGACCACAATCAGTGCCGGCCAGTTGCTCTGTCGCCAGGGTGACCACTCGGATGCACTCTACATAGTGCTCAACGGGCGACTCCGCAGCATCGCTGAACACCAGCGGAATGGGGAGAAGCAGCTTGAAATCCTTGGTGAGTACGGCCAAGGTGAATCAGTTGGCGAACAAGAGGTGCTCACGGACGTGCGCCGACCAGCAACTATCCACGCCATTCGAGACACCGAGATTGCGGTTATGCCCAAGACCCTGTTCAATACGCTGTGTCTTCGCCATCCCGAGATCACCATCCAAATGGCCAAGATCATTGCCACCCGCTCGATTTCGACCCCTCAGCGTCTTCCAGCCTCGTCCATTATTTCCGATTCTCTTGGCGCTGCTGCAGACCTTGGCAAAAACAACGTCAACCTCAAGACCGTGGCACTGCTGCCCGTCAATGGAATCACCCCCATAGCCGAGTTTGCCGACAAGCTTGGCGATGCCCTCGAGCTCATCGGCGCCAGTGTCGCTCGTCTCAATACCTCTGCGGTTATGAGCAAGCTTGGAAAGCACGCTTTCAATCGCCTTGGAAGACTCAAGTTGAACAACTGGCTTGCCGAACAGGAAGAAAGCTACAGGATCGTTCTCTATATTGCCGACGGCGGCGTGAACGCACCGTGGACACAACGGTGCATCCGTCAGGTAGATCAAAGCCCACGCGGCAGTTGCTCAGCAGCTCCGCCTGGATACCAGTCCAGGCGAACGCACTGAGTTCGGCCTGTCCTGTCCTGTCCTGTCCTGTCCTGTCCTGTCCTGTCCTGTCCTGTCCTGTCCTGTCCTGTCCTGTCCTGTCCTGTCCTGTCCTGTCCGCGTTGACTGATTTGTTTCTAACCAGCCTTTGATCACATCCCCATTCTTATGGCGCCTCCTCCAACCACGGACTCATTATCTCATCCTTGGTGGCGATGATGCTTGCCACATAGGCCGACTGTATTCTGTTAGTTGGTCTCGGTGACGGCGATCCATCGATTGGAGAATTTGAGCGACTCCTGCTCGGTATGAAGACTACGGCTCGCAAAGAACTCGTTCTTTTGCACTCAGAGCGCCGATGTCAATCAGGAAGCACCGCACGGTGGCTGAAAAACCGGCTCTGGATCCATGCCCATCATCATGTATGTCGTCGGCCTCAATGCCGGTTCATCCACTGGGCGGTACCGTGGTATCCCACCCCAAACCAACCGAGTTCCTTCGACTAGATGTTGTGGCTTGTTGTTTCCGGGTTCGTTAGGCTGATCCAATAACTACAAAGACGCATCCTCGCTCACAATTCCCACCCCCGTTACCGATCCTGCTGGTGTCCTAGGTCCACATGCCGATCATTGGTCCCAAGATCTTCAATGACAGCCGTCGGCAGGGTACTCTTCTTCATTTGCGTCATCTGCGAGGCCAGCTCTCCAAGTATTATGCTCAGGTGACCGCAAAGGACTTCAAGGCAGATCACTCTGCCATGACCTCGCCCAATATCTATACCGGCATTCGATCGGACTTTGCGCGTCTTTCGCGCAGACTGCTGTCCCGCTCAATCGGCCTTGTCCTCGGCGGAGGTGGAGCCCGTGGCTTGTCTCACCTCGGTGTGATCCGAGCATTCGAAGAAGCCGGCATTCCAATCGATATGGTGGGCGGCACAAGCATCGGCAGCTTCGTGTCGGGCCTCTACGCCCGCGAAAACGACCATGTCTCGATCTATGGCCGAGCAAAATCCTTCAGCGGCCGAATGACCAGTGTCTGGCGCCAGCTTATGGACCTCACATACCCTGTCACCAGCCTATTCAATGGCCACGAGTTCAATCGTGGTATATGGAAGGTAAGCTTAGTGTCTCGTCTGGGAACAGCAAGGCCGTTTTTCGTGTGTAGCTGGGAGGGTATTGGATCGCGACATTCAGGTACAGATTGATTCTCTTGGAACCATCCGGGGTTGCCAGCGCCACCGTCCAGCGGCTGGCTGGGTGAGCGGATAGGCGTGTACTTGCTAATGGGACGGCTCAGGCCAAGTCTGACTAACACACACGGCTCGATGCGCGCCAACAGTGCTTTTCCAATACCCAGATTGAAGACTGTTGGCTCTCCTTCTTTGCAGTGACCACCAACATAACGTGGTCTCGAATGGAAATCCACCAGAAAGGCTACATGTGGCGCTACATCCGCGCGTCAATGTCGCTCTCGGGATACCTGCCGCCACTGTGCGACAACGGCAACATGCTTCTGGACGGCGGTTACCTCAACAACCTGCCGGCAGATGTTATGCGATCGCTTGGCGCCGAGACGATCGTGGCTGTAGACGTTGGCAATGTCGACGACACTTCACCTGTGAACTATGGCGACACGCTCTCGGGCTGGTGGGTGCTACTGCGGCGCTACAATCCCTTTGAAAAAACCGACTATGGCAAGATCCCACAACTCGCCGACATCCAGTCGCGCCTGGCGTACGTGTCGAGTGTCAAACAACTCGAGGAGGCCAAGCGAGTCGAAGGGTGCTACTACCTGCATCCGCCTGTTCACAAGTACGGCGTCCTGAGCTTTGATAAGTTCCAGGAAATTTACGAGACCGGCTACCGGTTTGGTCAAGACATTGTCCAAAAGTGGGAGAAAGACGGTACCCTGCAGAAACGGTTTGGGGTTCGTAAGGACGACGGCAAACCAGGCAAGACTGGGCACGCTCGTCGTGCCTCTATATAGAGAGAACTAGTGCTGTTGCTGTTCCAGCATATCTGGTATAGGAATGCCGGCCTGTCGCCTGTCGCCTGCCACCTGCTGCACTTCGTTTCATTTCCTGGTGTACTTTGTATGCACACTTGCTTTCTTTTTACTTTGTCGCGCCATCGCTTTTGTCTGTCTCGCCTGGTCGGCCCAGTCTTGGGTCCCCCTGTCAAGTCACCTCGAATGTCTGCAGCGCACCCGAAACGGGTCACTCGTTGTCGAGTCCAGGGTGTCACTTTTTTTTTCAGATTTCGGAATACACATCCATACATTGGCAGTGGTGTACATAGCCCCGACCTCATGACGAGCGCCGTCCAAGACCCACACGGAGGTCGATCGGCTTGGTCGACGAACTGCCTTGATGTTGCCACCCCGCCCCACCCCCCAAAAAACTCTTCCCACATCGACCTCCATCCGAGTAGATGAGTTGAATCGCACCGACGGCGGAGCAGCTCGAAAGAACCAAAGAGCCTCAGGAAATGACAGGCTTCGCCCGGCTTCCGTGTAGTAGATAGCATGTGATTCCCTTGGATGACCTCAATAATACGTGTATTCTCGTCTAAAAGATTGTTCGCCAACAAGAAACCAAGTGTCCTGTTGCATTTGCACGGCTGTGCCGGGTCTCCAAGGCCAGGGAAGACAGGGTGTCCACTTTGACGACATGGAGCGCATGTCTCCCCATGATCATGTCAGCCGCAGCGGCGTCCCTGTCTCGGCGACTATTCCAGCTCGAGGAGGGTCTGTCGCTTTCGGTTCACCACCAGTCGAGTTACATCGGGGCGGGAGTAGTGACCGGCCAAGTCAAAGTTCTGGCGCTCCTCGCGAACGCGCTGATGATTCAGGACCACAACGACAACGGCTTCTCTGCCGACGATGGGCTCAAGGACCCATCGACCGTCGGGACCGGCGACGCACGAGCCGCCGTTGGCAAACGATCCCGATGAATGGGCCTTGATTTCGGCTGCCTTCGGGATATCGTCCGGAATATCATCGGCGTGCATTGTGCTGCTGACAGAGATGACAAAGGATCGGGATTCTTGGGCAATGAAGCGAGTGATATCCTCGGTGTTGCGCAGATTGCCAGGCCAAAGGGCAATATGGAGATCCTCGCCTGGAAGCAAGGAGCGGAGAGGTCAAGACGAAAGCGTTGATGGTGAGTGGTAGACATGGAGGGTCAGAGCCTGGCGAAACCTGACCGACAAGACTCAAACCATGCGAGCCAATGAGAAAAGCAAGCATCTGGATCATAGTCCAAGGCAGGCATCAATGGCCGATCGTCCAATATCCGGAACAAACCTACCTTGAGCATAGAGGGCCGCTCTGGAGAGAGGCATCCAGTTCTCGAAGCAGTTGAGGGTTCCGTAGGTGAAGCGGCCGAGTGGATGCACAACTAGACCATTGCCATCCCCCGGCGACCAGGCCAGACGTTCCTGTTTGGGATCAAGAGGTGTCAGCGACAAGGCTCTCCGATAGTCGTCCGCCACCAGCCCAATGCCGGTCTTTACCTCATAAGTTGGGCAGAGCTTGCGATGAGCGCTGGCAATCGTGCCGCGGGCGTCGATCGTGACTGCCGTGCAGTAGAGGCTGTGTCCTCCTCGGTCCTTTGGACGCTCGATGGTGCCGAGAACGACAGCGATGCTGAGCTGCCGGGCAAGAGCGCAGACAGAGTCAAGGTGGCCATCTTCGATGCAAACAGCTTGATCCATGTAGTGCGCATGGATCTCCTTCTGAAGCGGATGGTCCCAGCGAGCGGCATCGGTGCGCTCAAGCCACCAGGGATAACCAGGGACGAGAGCTTCGCCAAAGACGACCAGCTGGGCGCTCTGTTGGGCAGCCTCGCGGATGGCCTCATGGACCTTGGCAAGGGTTTTGGTGCGGTCGAGCCAGACGGGGGTGATCTGGGCCAGGGCGACCCGGACTTCGTCGGTGGAGGCGTCTGCAAAGGCCATGGGAGCAGCAGAATCGATCGGTGCAATCCGAGATGAAAAAGACGGATCTGGAGCAGCGCTTGTGGGGACGAGATCTTGGGCGACGGCGTTGTCGTGGGTCCTTCCCGAGAATGGCGTCAACGAGAACCACGATCGCCGAGCAGCGCCGGGTGAGACGGTTCAGGGCTCGGGTGTCGATCAGAGTCGTCCGATTCACAGCCCACACAGCCCACGCCGGCCAACAAGTCGGTCATCCGCGTGTTGGGGGTGTATTGTTTCCGAGTGAGTTTGCTGCCCAGAGCGCAGGTTCTCGATATCGATAAATGGGTGTGTATTTGGAGCGCCAGGGAAAACAAAAGGCAGCAACCAGCAATCGAATCAGGCGTGCGCGTGATCCGTGTCGTTCATGGCATTAAGGAAAAAGAAAGAAATGCATACAGGGGAGGAGTTGTGGAGGGGACGCAGCGATGGCACACATCTTTGCCAGATCAATCAGTCATCGCGGGCACGGATCATGAGCATCTCATAGACAGACATGACCGTGTACTTTCGGTTCTCAGCCTCGGGGAAGACGATCGACCGGGCAGGGTTATAGAAGACCTCGTCGTCAACCTCTTCTTTCTTGCGGGGCAGGCAGTGCATGAACTTCCAGTTGGGTTTGGCATGGCCAGACTTGGCCATGGCCTCGGTGATCTGGTGACAGAGGAAACCGAGAGCGGCAGGGAGCGAGTCAGCAAATATCACAGCATGTGACAAATCGCGACAACGGCAGCAGCAAGAACAGGGTGATAAGCAGGGTCAGACCCAGGGCACGAGTGTTACCTGGTAGCCGGCAAACTCCATCAGGCGCTTGGCTTTCTCGGCCTCTTGGCCCATCGAGACCCAGGTATCGGTGATGATGACATCGGCGCCGTTGATGGCGACGAGCGGGTCGGTGGTGAAGCTGATCTCGCCATACGATTCGTCGCCGTTTTCGCCGCCACGCGAGTTCTTGAGGGCGAACTCGACAACGTCAGACTCGGGCTGGTAGCCCTTGGGTGTGGCAACCGAAAACGAAATGCCAACACGGGGCAAAGTGGTCATGAGAGAATGCAGGATGTTGTTGGCATCGCCAACCCAGGCGACCTTCAGGTTCTTGAATAGCGGAAGGGGAAGGGGGCCCTCGTGATCGAGACAATCGGGAAGATAGGTCTCGTAGAGAGTCATCAGATCGGCAAGGATCTGCAGCGGGTGGAACTTGGCCGTCAACGCGTTGATGACGGGAACCGTAGAATGAGCCGCCAAGGTCTGCAACAGGGAGGACATGGAAACGGTGAGAAGTGACGCACAAAAGGCGAAGCAAGGATTGGGTGGTCAGAAGACATGCGATACGGGCGAACGAGCGACAGGACGGAACCACCAACACAAAACACCTACCTCAATCTCAGAGTGCTCGCCAACTCGGGCCAGGATAGCGTCAACCATGCTACTGACGACAATGGCAGTGTCCATCAGGGGCTCTCCGCCAGAGATCTGGATGTCCTCCTTGCCCAAAAACATGGGATGGCCACCAAAGTAGGCCCATCCGGCCTCGGCAGAAACACGAGTACGGGTGCTTCGCTTGGTGAAGATCATGGCAAGAGTCTTGCCCTTGAAAGGGAGAGAATTGGGGGTCGAGTGCGTCGACTCGGCCTTCATGAAGGCCTTGATTTCCAGGGCCCGGCGCACGAGCGAGAGAACCTGAGGAGTCGAAAAGTCCTTGAGGGCAACAAAGTGCTTGACGCCGCCAAAGCAGACATCAGGTCCGCCGTAGGGGATGTGGTAGAATGCCTTGCGCTGGGCAAGAGAGTTGGACAGGGTGGGAACAAGACCCTTGGGGGCGGGGCCGCCGAAGGAACGGGCAACGGAGGCCTGGGACGAATGCTTGAGGATGGTGTTCATTGCAGCAGATCGATACGAATCACAGAGAGGACGGTGCGGGATGCGATTTATAGACCGGAGGTTTTCCAGATCTGGCGGGGCACCAAGGTGAAGCGAAGGTCGGGTCAGAATCAACGAGCAGACTGCGAGAATCGATGAGGGAGAGGGATGGGAGACCGGTGGATTGGCAGCATCATTCGTGATCGGGCGCAAAGCCGAGCGGGGACTGGGGGGGTGTGCGACGGCAACCAGAGAGGCGAGCGAAACACGGCGATAACACCGAGACAAGCAGCGGCACTTACTTGGTCAGAGATGTAGTCAAGCTGGACTTTTTCAGACGTGTGGATGTAGCAACAAATCATCGACCTTTGATCTCTTCAAAGGAAGGAGATAGGTCCGAGGTTGCGGAGAACGAACGAACGAGCGGGTGGGTGGCGAGAGAGATGCAAGACAGCGATCGGGCAGCGCCGCAGGTTATATATTCCCGCCGCTGGCGCGAAAAAACGCAGTCGCCTCCGCGATAGGCCAGATAAGAGCATTACGTCAGCGATGACGGGCCGGACACATGACCGCGCGCACAAGGCCGTGCGCAGCGCGTTGCCGTGCGACGGCGGGCGGACACGGCGTGGCGCAGGCGCACGGGACGCGCCACGGGACTGGCTGCGGCTGCGCATGTGCGGCTGGCCACGGGCTGGCCGGGAGGGACGTGTGGCAGTGCCGGTGCACGTGGTCAGCGATGGTGTCGCCGAGTGTGGCGGTGAGTGTCGCAGAGAGTGGACGATGGGCGTCACCGACCATGTGAGTGCACAGCCGAAGATCAATGCCACAGACCAATGCTGCAGACCAATGCTGCAGATCAATGCCACAGACCAATGCTGCAGATCAATGCTGCAGGCAAATGTCGCAGGCGCTCTGCGCCCAAGGGCACATGCGTGACAGATGCGTCACAGCCTCGCGATTTTGGCCCGCGCCGTGTCACCAGTCGTTTCGTCACCAGCCTCATTTCTCCACCATCTCTCCTCCACCATCTCTCCTCCTGCATCGTCTCTCCTCCTGCATCATCTCTCCTGCACCATCTCTCCGTTCCGCACATCGCCATCGGCACTCGTCGGCATGGCCCTGTCCCTGCTTCCTTGGCTGCTGGTCCTGGTGCTTCCAGCATCCTCTGTCGTTGCTGCCTCGCTCGATCCCTCTGGATGCACCGCCATCGCCTCGGCCAATCCTCCCCTTTCCAAGGACTATGCCGTCCCAGATCCCTCCGACAACAATGTCCTTATCAACTGCATGAACTTTTGCCAGGACCGCAACAGCAACATCGCCCCCGCCCGCATCGCGGTCTTCTGGCAGCAGTGCTCCTCCAGCCCGCAGATGTATTGCACATGTTTCCCGACCTATGTCAGCTATCCATCGACCACCTGTGGCAGCAAGAGCCCAGGCACATGCGGCGGTGTGCCCTGCGGAGACTGCACAGCAGCCCTCTTCTATGATGTACGTTCGCTCGGCTGCTCGCCATGTTCACTTGGATTGGCTTGAGACATCTCATACCATCAACACATGTCTGTACAGATCACCGGTGTTGTTCGACCACCACCACCACCTCCTCCTCCTCCTCCTCCTCCTCCGCCGCCGCCGCCGCCGCCGCCTCCGGGAACCACCTCGCAAGCCCCAGGATCCACCGGCCCGCCGTCTCCTGCCAGTACCTCGGTCTCGAGTGGCGCACCATCTGGGTCCATGTCGGCGGCGTCAACACAAGCAACCGCCTCGGTGTCCGTTTTGCCCCCGTCGTCTGTCACCGGCTCGGTCATGTCTGAAGCATCGCAGAGCGTCACATCCAATCCAGCCGACACAAGCCTACCCTCCGGGCTGCTCCCGCCCACACCGGCTCCGAGCGGAGGCAGCACCACCGGCAGTACTGCTACTGGCTCCTCTGCGAGCACAACCGCGGTTGTCATGTACGCCACCATTGGCATTCTTATCATCCTTCTCGGCAGCCTCATTATCTATCGGTCGAGGAGAAAGCTGAACCCGTCCCGCAAGCCGAGATCCAGTCCCGACCAGGAGCCTGTTTCGCCACTGATCAGTCATGCCGCCGCCATTGCCATGGTCCCCCTTGGCCGCCAGTCCTCCGATGATGGAATCGGCCTCGTGTCTTTCCGCCAACAGACGCTACCACCGGATTCGTCCTCCCAAGCGCATGCTCAAGTCCAAGCCCAGGATCCAAGCTCTGTGTCTCGAGCGTCTGCGATAGCTGTAGAACCAACAATAGTGTCTGTACCATCGACTTTGACGGAGGAGCGCTTGACATCCGCAACTGCCCAGTCCGACATTATAACGGAGCCGAGCCCAGCCACAGAATCCGACGAAAAGTTCATCTTGTTTGTCGCGATGAGTGCTTACCACCCAACCGCTGACGACGAGCTCGAGATCAACACCGGAGACATCATTGGAATCCGGTTAGTGCCTCGTTTGCGATGACGACGGGCCCTCTTCTCGATTGGGGTACTTTTTCAACAAGCATGGCTCTGCGCAAACTCTGATTGCTCATGCTGGTCCTGTCTGTTCGATCCTCACCAGAAACGGCGACACCACCAAGTCCCGCATGAAAGGCGTCAACACCACCACCACAAAAACCGGATTCTTCCCTGGCCGCCTCCTGACCAGCTCGCTGAGCGCAACTGGGACTGAATCTGCCGGGTCGGTGGTGTCTTCTAGGGCTTACCAACAATCCGTCGAACCCAATCAGCCCGATTCGCAGGATTCTGCCCATGCGTCCCGCTACATCGTCTCGGTGCCGTTTCAGTCCCAAAGACCCGACGAAATAACCCTCCGCAGCCACGATACCGTGCAAGTCCGGTGAGTAGCCCTGTTCAGCAGAGGCGTCGATGGCTGTGCTGGAGCCGGATGCCTACTGCAAGTTCCTAGCAGCTCGTTTACAAGCCTTTTAACCTCTCGCCGCTCTGTTTCTTTCGCCCATGCATCGCCATCTCCAGCCATTGGTTTGAAGATGGTTGGGTTTATGGCACGAACGAAGCCACTGCTCAATCCGGGATCTTTCCATCAACGTATCTACAACCTCTGGACCCTGTCGATGCGCCCCCGGAATACTCTGAGAGCGGCCAGCGGTCGCCACCAGGGAACAAACTCTAGACAGACCCGTTGCCTGCGTGTCGACCTATTTGGGTGTGGCAGCTGCAACGGACACTCGCCGCACGGGCATCATACGACTCTGGATTCCGTGTGATTCCAGATCATGCACGAATCTATGACACTGTCGCTGATTCTGATACATTGTAATTCCATTGCCGCCGTGTTTAACATGGGACGAGGCGGGGCTGCTTTGTCCGTCCCGAATACATGAATGCATGAATGCATGCACACTCTTGTGATTCTCACTGGCAATTTATCACAATCAATTTTTTCCGGCTGCTCGCGGTTGCTCATCTCGAATATGAATACACGCTGTAGACCAAGATGCAGCAAAAGTTGGAATCCGGCCATGGTCGGTTGACGGCATTTGGTATCATCTTGAGCCAATTGACGGTGGTGGTGGGCGATTGATGCGGAGGAATGACCAATTGTATCATTGTTGGAAGCTCCACTCCGATTGCGGACAAGAGCCACCACCATCTGAATCTCTCTGGTTGGGAACCTAGTCAAGCGTGGCTGTGTGTCAGCGAGATGACATGATCGCTTGGCTATCAGGCAAGACTCACCTTGACAAGATGTCTTCCCACGACTGATTGAGCGAGCGATGCGTTTCTGGATCTGAATCAAGGACGCCAGTGTGAGCATCTCTGCCAGCCCAAAATGCGCTGGTTTTGAGGAGATTCTTTCTTCCCCAAGGGCGGAGCCAGCCATCGCTGCTATTTTCTCGCCAGATGGCTCCCAAGAGAAAGACACCCCGACCCCGACCCAGGAGAGTCATTGGGTGATCCTGGGTCGGGGTCGGGGTCGGGGGGTGTCTTTCTCTTGGGAGCCATCTGGCGAGAAAATAGCAGCGATGGCTGGCTCCGCCCTTGGGGAAGAAAGAATCTCCTCAAAACCAGCGCATTTTGGGCTGGCAGAGATGCTGCGCAGTGGCGTCCTTGATTCAGATCCAGAATTGCATCGCTGAGCAATGAATGAAATGACGCGGTATCAGTGCCTACCGACCAATAGAAAAGCAGAATATAAATGAATGAAACCAAAAGAACCCCTGCTGTCTACATTGGAGCCGGCTGGAGCCGGATGGGAGCGGGAAGAAACAATCCAGAATGCATCCAGGATCGAATGCATTCTGCGCAGCATGAGACACGTGATAAAGTACTTCTGGGCGAATGCCGAGGATCTGGTACCCACCACCGTCAATCGGCTCAAGGTGATACCAAATGCCGTCAACCGACCATGGCCGGATTCCAACTTTGCTGCGCCACATACAACGTGACTTTCAGGTGACCGAGATGAGCAGCCGCGAGGAGCCGGAAAAAATTGATAGTGGGGCTGGCTCCACAGCAAATCCGCCCCGGCTGCGGCCCTTGTGGCACGCCGGCTTTCGGCCTTGGGCGATCTCGCCGCTGCCTCGATTTCTTGCCCTTCTCACCACCACCCCGATCAGACCGCTCCTGCATCGGCTTGCTGCTGCTGCTGCTGCTGCCGCTGCCGCCCAACCATCGCTGCAACAAAGCTTTACCCATGTCCGATGACACACCGAGAGACCGACGGCGCCAGCGTGCCTGCCTGTTATGTGGTCTGATCAAATCCACCAGCCAATTCCAGAACGACGGCTGCGACAACTGCTACGTTTGGGTCAAGACCGACGTATCCTACTTTGAGTACACCTCCGCAAAGTTTGATGGGGCCATCGCCATGCTGGAGCCCGACTCATCTTGGGTAGCCCGCTGGCAGCGCATCGACAAGTTCTGCAGCGGCATTTATGCCATCCGAGTATCTGGCCGCATCTCCAAAAACCTGGAAGATCGCCTGGCTGATGAAGGCTTCAAGTATCGTCCGCGCGACGGATCGGCGCAAGAATAGGGGACCTAAAGACACAACCGGATGGATCGTCGCCATCGACTCAGCGCTGGTGCATCCGCACGATGCAGTCTCGCCCCTCGGAATCCTCACACGGCCCCCAGAGATCATTTCCCCACATCCTCCCATTCACCTCCTCGCCTTGCAAGTCCTCGGGCTCCAGAAATTGACTCCTATACTCCCCCTCGTCATATCATTCTCTCCCGCTCGTATCATCCGGTGCCGTATAGGTGTTACGTTGATGTGCATGAACGCAGCGACCACAATACAGTGGTCGAGCAGAACGTTGTTCGGACCAGAGAATCTGCTGAATGTCTTGTACCTTTCTGTCCCCGGCTTTATTCAAGACTCCACAATCGATTGGGAGCGGGGTCTCCGAGTCGGGACGTCGACTCGGACAAAGTCTAGGCAACACGAGCCAATTTGCCATCGTCTGTGTTGATTCGAGGCTTGACTCTTGTTTTTGCGGTTCAGTGAGCCTGAGGCCTTCGGACTTGGACGTCCGCAGTGGCAGCGATCCCGAAGCCATGATTGCTAGTCAAGCAACTCGACCGCCACCTTCAGAAGCTCCAGCATCCTCATGTATGTCGCTGCTTCAGCAGTTTTGCTCTGCTCCTCCAGATAGGCTGGAGGGAGAGCCAGATCGCCGATCCTGGAGTCCAGGTCTTGGAGCTTTTCGCTGTCCAGTCGCATGTATTCCTGGAGAATCAGGTCTCTCGCTTCGATGTAGGCCAGCTGCATCTGCTGGCCCAGGAGCTGCTTATCAGCATCGGGGCTGGTAATCATGTGCTGAAGCTCCTGACGGAACTGCGAGTCAACGCTCTGCCAATCCTTGTACAGGCTGCCGCTCGAGTCCATCGGCTGTATGCCGCCGGGCAGCTCGCTCTCGACGCCCTGTAGTTCAGAGGGCCCGATGGTCGCAATGGCCGAATCCGACAGCGCCGCATTTGGAGCCATCGCAGCTTCGGGTGGGATTGAGTTGGAGTGGCATTCGGGGTCCTGGCTTTGGGAGCGATGGGCGGAGAACATGGCTCCCAAATCGACATGTTCATGCTCGCTCTCCGGCTGGTACCGACTGTGCTGAAACCGAGGGACTTTGTTGCGACGGAGGGCCAGCCGGCTCTGCATCAGAGTCACACCGAGACAGTCGGGAACCATTTCCTCGAGTTTCGTACAAAGCTCTGCCAGTGTCTTGTCTGGCTGGCACCTGCATGACGAGGCGATACCCGCAGCGGTCAGTATTCGACGACTCCAGAACCAGCAGGGCTCTTGGTGCACTCGTTCATCGACTCTGAATTCGATTCCCGGTCCGGCTGCATACATGACCCGAGGCCCGCTCTCCATGGTGAAATTGGCTGTGTCGCGACGAGTGTGTCGATGACGAATATGTCGTCGAAGGGAGCAGAGACCAAAGTGTGCAGATGGAAAGGCAGTTTTCCAGAGCTGAACCCGGGGCACATAGCCGTATCTGTTGGCATGGAGGGCTTCTCCGACACCAAGCAAAGCCGTGAAGGGGACGACGAGAGAGCCGGTGTCGCACGACACAATATCTGTCAAAGACATCCGTCAAAGGATCGGCCAGGTTGAGGAGACATGGCGATGCCGGTCCTGCCGAGGCATGGCTGGATCTTGTGTCCAAACGCACAACTAGAATGTAATTGCCTTTGTGCGGCTCGACAGGCTCGATTTTCCGTCGGTAGGTTGGGTTGGCTTGCAGGGTGATGTTGAATAAGCAGCGGGACATCTTGCTGTCGAATCGCAATGCTGTCTCCATCTGGGTCCTGAATACACAATCACCAGTCGCTCGCCATGACGAGTCACAGTACCCTCGATTCATACGCCGTGGGAGGACGGAGGGCGATCCACACTCATCATTCGGAGGCTGTCGAGGCGGTTCTCTTGATTGTGCATGGCCTGGTGCATGGCCTGGCGCATGCGGCCTTTCAGGAGCCGCAGGTTCGATTAAAATAGCACAGCATCCTGGACGAGCCGACCGCCCATATCGGACGATGTGGATGTTCGTCGAGATGGGCTACATGAATCGCTGTCGGACACCATGCTCTTCGGTTCTCAAACCAACGGTCAAGACGACATCCCGAGGTCCAGCGTCCCATCCGAGTCGGAACAGACCACATCGTGTTGGCGCAAAGCCCTTCAATTGCCTGATGGATTCAACGCCACTTGCACATTCATGAAGATCACCACGATCACACACGCCGTCATAAACAGCAAGCAAAATATAGCAACATAGACCGACGGAATGTAGCGGGTGATAAAGTACGGGAGTGCTTCGAATGGCCTCTGATCGATCACGACGGATTGATGGATCGATTGCGTGCCCATTTCCGGATCGTGCAGCTTGATCGAGATGATTTCAGTGCGATGGCTGGCGATGGACATGCGCTTCTCGTTCAGAGCCCCCGAGGTTCCAGTGCGGCTGGTGTCCTCTCGACCGGCTCCAGTTGTCATCGACACCATTGAAGACTTCGACAGCCCACCTGCAGCAAGGCGCTCGTTGCTACTGGCCATGATTCTGCGGCTCATTTGGGCAGCAGCCATCTGCCGTCTGGGATCAGGAGTCTCGAGCAGAGCCCGGTTGCGGGGGCGTTTTCCCGTGAGGGCCGCACCGACTGACGACTGACCAGAGACTCCGCCAGAACTGATACTCGTCCCAACGCTCACGGCCGAGACTTCGTTGATGCACCAGGTTCTCGGCCGCATTTGTGTGCGAGAGATGCTGGTGGAGTTCATGCGCGACATTGGGCGGGGCATGTTCATCATGTCGTCGTTGCTGCTCTTGACAATGTCGATCACCGGGATCTCCATGTGCTTTCGGTCCTTGACTTGGGCCTCAATAGAGCCCGACTCGAACGGCACCACCTCCGGCAGCTTAGAGTCGGATTTGGATGCGAGTGGGAGCTCCAAGTCCTTGCCGGAGGAGACGTTTGACAGCCGGTCAGGTCTGGATCCATCCGCTTCGCTCCGTACATCGTTATTGGACTTTGCCATTCCCATCATCCGTGGCGCCAGACGCCCCATGGGAGCCGGCGAAAGCCCCGTGGCTGAGTGACTACTGGTCATTCTCGACACTATTGGCTGTTCAACCGTCAGCTCGTCCCGAGAGGTTCGCATGGAAGGCTGGGACGGTGTTGCGCGAATCAACGACGATAGTGGAGGACTCGCTTGAGCCACCGCGAGGACCAATTGCCCCGGAGGCGGCGTTTCGTGCTCTTCAGCACTGGGTTCTGAAAATTTGATTCCCTCATCAACCGAAGAGTAGCGCGGAGTCCCGTGCGAGAGCGAAGTATTGCTCTTGGAAGTAGTGGCAGCAGCCTGGGATCCCATTGGAGATCCCATTGGAGATCCCACTGGGTATCCCACATGGCTGTCGCTCAGATTGGCAAAAGTCGGCGACTTGAGACTCTCGCTGAGTCGCGAACAGTATCCCGACGAATCTCGGGCCTTCTCTTCGACGCTGGTCTGGTACTCGGACCCCACGCTCTGCTGTCGTTCCAAATTGCGCTGGATGACTTGAGCTACGCTGATGGCTTCTTCGCTATCGATGGTCATCAATGGGCTGAGCATCTGTATCCGGCTGAGACTGTTGCGACTAATCGAGCTTGGCGGACTTGCAGCAACCAGATTGACAGAAATGTTCTTGAGATTGGCTCGTATGGGAGCATTGGGCGATAATTGGGAGGTTGCATGCACAGCTGTCGAAGTGGCCTGGCCGGCCGCCGCCTCCTTCTCCATGGCATCGAGATCTATCACCCTTTCCTTCGAAGGGACTCTTGCGCTGGCGCTGATGCTCTGAACGCTATCGGCATGGGCTGGTCGGATAACGGACCGCTCTCGCGGGGCGGAGGAGTACAGAGACCCCCTGCTGATCCCAGGTGCAATTGACGTGTTTGTGTGCTCAGCCAGCGAAAGCTGGGGGTTCGTTTCTTGAACCGAACTGATCGATGCTTCTGAGTTCAGACGCTGGTGAAGTTTTCCGTATTCGAATGTCTTTCCGCGATCGATTCCAAGTCTTTCGAAGTTGGTATGAGGCAGATGATAGACAAAGTCAAAGTCGTCTTCGTCGTCGTCAGATGCCTTCTTCTTATAGTTTGTATCCATGTACAGAAACTCGAGCTCATCCAAGACACTTTGGTTGAGCTCTGGCGTTCATTCAGCATGTTCATCCGAATGCATGTTCATTCAAAGGCACCAGCTGTCAGCTTTGATCGGTGCGTATCAAGTGCGGACTGAACGATGCTCAAACGACACTCAAGCGTGATCCACAGAAGGTCGCTCTCAGGTAGAGCTCCAGCGCAGCGTGAGCTATCGTCGCGCGATGGCATTTCCACCGACATGGGTCATAAGCACGTATACATGTATGTGTGCCACGATGATGATATTGCCGGACGAGCCCTCGAATGCCTGGTACTTACCCTTGTTGCGCCTTGAGAGAAAGATATATACCATATACGGAATGATGAAGTTGGACAGACTTGCAAAGAACAGCGAGCTCCAATTGACAATTTGTGTGAGCCAGTCACCCGTTTGGAAGGGGATAACGAGAATGAACGGCAAAACGGCAGCAAAGAAGGTTGCCCACTCTGAGCAACGTTCGAGGCAGGCGCCGTATTTGTTTCGCAGTTCGCCACGGATTCCGCACAGAGATCGAGTCGGCGAATTAGTGAATGAGTCAAGTTGAGTGAGGGTGGAGTGGGTCAGTTTGAAAGGCTTGAAGATCCAAAGCAAGCCAAATGTCGCCGTGGGTGCCTGCACAGGTGTTTCTCTGGCACAAGCACCATGGCCGAGGTCCTAGTTCACAGCTTACCATGAGAACAAAATCCGCTCGTAACAAGGTTGAGTCGCATAATGATTATATACACAGGTATCGTCGGTAGAAGCACGGTGATGGAAAAGATGAGATTCAGAATCACAATCATGAGCACGAGAACTGGGCTATTGGCTGCGGTGTTGGTCAGAAACGAGCTGATGATGTTGGAGTTTTCTGGAATCGGCACCGTCACGGCTCCTAAGAGAGTTGTTTGTACGATGAGATGCTGTGGAGACGAAGGCCAGCGCGCAATTTGCCCACGACCCCGTGTTGTTGACCATACTGACGAGCACTATTGGTATCCAGCCCGTCGCAACAGATTCTACGGGCACTTTGGGATTACCAATGATTCCGACAAAGATGAATTGAATGGTGGGCAGCCACAGCGACCAAAATATAGATTTGAATATGGACACATCCTTGTGCTTTGTGTTGAGCCACGAGGGTATCTGAGTGATGAATGCTGTGTTGTGATGGTATTCATGTCAGTAAAAACACGTCGAGCAACTCCAACGACTGCACTTGCTCGAGCCCAGGTGAATTGGTGCCAGACGGGCATGAGAAATGCCACCTATGATGCGTGCGGATAGTGCAGCGTGCGAGCATGATGCAGCGTGCAGAGTTGGTGCAGCGCAGGGTCGAGGTGAGCGGATGATGTCATTACCATAGTTGAACATCACGGTTCCGACGACTTGCGAAACGTCCTTGGTCTCAGGGTGGATCAGGGACCAGTTGAGGCCTTGCGAGATGAACATGATGCACCAAATCACGATCACCGACACTGTCAAGAGGAACGAGACTGGGAAAGCCAACCAAGCATCGTGAATAACCTCAGCTCGGACGAGAAGGCAGCTATGCGATACATTACGCAAACTCGGTCACCGTACACCGCATGCTTCGGGCCACTCTACGCCCCGCCACAAGACTGTGGTCCTTCCCATTACTTACAAAATTGGACGATAATGTTGTCATTGAGGTTGAGGGCCGACAAAGGTGCACACACAAATATGAAAACCTGCCGGTTCACAGCACCGTTGGAAAGTAAAGCCACAGCATCACAGGTGAGTTTGAGTGCAACAGTCGGGGTATGCCCATGCTCACGCCAATGCTAATCCGGGTTGATTTGATCCGTGTTCATTGCCAAGGCACTGCGGCAGCTACCACCGCGCTAGCGAGTCAATGGACAGCACGCATTACCAAATATCCAAGAGTGAAGAGCATGATCGTGTTCTGAAACGGTGAGTTTGCATCGATGTTTCCGGGTTGGCAGATGAATCCAGATTGACTCCATGGGTAGATTGCGAATCCACAGGTCTGCCCAAAGACGACGCCGATAACTGCGTCGAGTTGCTGGTCGAACAAGCATCAGTACGGAAGTGCAAACATATGGAAAGATCAGCCAGTGGCCAAAGGGTTGATTCGGCAGCTCAGGCTATCACGGAGGCAGGTGCGTGCAAACGACTTGGTAAAGCAGACCATCGTGAGCACACGCCGACGGTTTGTGGCATAGCGAGCCTTGAGACCCGCAGCAGCTGCCCATGCTTTACCTGGCACGCCAAAACAATCGTGGCGATGTTGACGGACTGCATTGACAAATAGAGAATGACGTGCATGGCATAGTACGCCTTGCGGCCGTAGAATTGATGCACCAGTGTCACGTACTCGACATTGCGCTGGAGTAAAATACACGGCCACAGGCCGAGATAGAGCTGCAGTCAATGTCTGAAGAATCGTCCACACGCCAACCTGCAACGGCCAAGGGTGTCTCGCCGAGTGCACAACAGATGGCTGAAGTGAATCGAGAGTGGACGCAAGCATGCCGCGCAGAGCAGTGGGTACCCCACCTGGAATCTCTCATTCCCAGGAAATGCCGTGAGGGCTTCAGTCAAATAGAGGGATCCCAGGCCAGAGAGCAAGGCGAAAACGAGAAAGGCTATGGTTGGGCTACAGTCAAGAGCGTTGGGGCAATAAAAGCAAGTCAGATATGCGCCTGAGGACAGCGAGCATAAAACCTCAATCGAGGGTTTTGTCCTGGTGCAATCGCTTGGCGCTGCAATGGTATCATGGCTGGACACTCGCTCCTGCTCAGTACTTACGCAAACCACCCGCACTGCTGATAGAGAAGGGGTATGGTCACGATTCCTGTGGAATGACGAGTCGCCGTTGACGACGGGTTATCATCAGACAATGGCGGCAGAACCGCGGATGCTTGGTAAACCGACGAGCCGCGGCAGGGAACCGAGGTGATTGTCAAACTGATAGACCTACCCGGCCCCATGATGCTGCTGGCAAGCAGCCCAACACTGCCGACAAAGCCGCTGGAAGCGATTGAACAAATGCAGATGAGTTCCATTGCTACTGCTCCTCCCCGCAAGACCAAGATGGACCACGGAGGCCTTTGTTGTGGGTATCCCATCGACCACCAGAGTCCTCGTCGAGCTGTCCCCATTCAAGCTCTCCGGAGAATCATCGGCGATTGCTGTGTCGGCTTACACATTTTTAATATAGATATCGGACATGCTTCGCTGTCTGAAGAATCTCAGTGCAACTAGGAGGGAGTGATGACGATCGTTGTGGCAAGATTTGCGAGCGTCGAGAAAATGCAGAGGATGAAATCGACAAGACGAGTAAATGGAATTGAGACGGCGAGAACGGGAGAACGAAAGAGGGAGGGTGAGCAGAAAGTTGAATCGGCTCGGGCAGTGGAGATGCACACCCGTTCGTCATCGCCCGACATGTCGCAGCATATCTAAGCTTGACCATATCTTCACGCACTGCCGATATACCCCGGATCTAGAGCCTGACATCACATCCGGCAGAGCGCCATCAGCTGATTCGCAGGCAGGCGCCCGACGACATATTGAACAAGCGTGATTGGGCCGATGTGAAGTTGTGTGCTCCGATAGGGTCTGCTGCTGAGGCCGGCGATCCAAGCGACAAGTCCGGCCCACAGACTTGCCCACACCTTGACAAAGCCCTATTACTCTCCTTGAACTGCTTGCGCCGATCAGGTCCTGGTCGATTCCATGGACCGCAAGAGAGACTTTCTCAATTATCTAGTGCAAAGTTTACCATGAACTGCTGTGCCGACAGGTCAAAGCATCCAGGCTCTCATATCGATACAGCCAATCCAGCGAGAAACGGGACTATCTCCTGGCATAAGGCTCCAAGCACAGTCTTGAATACACTTGGTCGATCTCCTGCGTCGATGTGGGAGTGTAGTGCATCCACTCGATGTGGGAGTGTAATGGATGCATTCGACCCTCTGGACAGCTCCATGATGTATCGATATCAAGATACTCGGCCTTCTCGAGTCGCTTGGCTTCCTGGCACTGTGAGCATACCTGGAGATCGAGTCACTTGAATCGCCGTCGCCTGGCGGGTGTCTTTCGCTTGCGGAGAGCCATCTGAGCGAGAAAGCGTCCTTGATTCCGATCCAGAAACGCATCTCACAAGTGGCCCATTTGTGGGTCATCTGGTCACCGAATGCAAACGATGGCTCTCAGTGCAGCGATGCGGAAATCGAGTGTGTGGCGAATGGTCGTGGCCAGCGCGCGTAACAAAACATTTGATCAATCGTCAAAATCACGGGTGTCCCGTTTCATATTGGATTGACTGTAAAACAGCACTTGCCCCCAAGCCCTGTCGGGATGCAGATCCTTGATCAAGGAAACTCATCTTTTAAGTGTGGATGAGCATCATTCCGCTGTCATTAGCCTACCCAGGGTAGATGGAGCGCTCAGTACCGCCAGGGTCCTTACAGTCATCGAGGAGACAGTATTCTACTTTAAAATCCGATCATGCTGTTTATTGAGAGTTCCAGCGGCTCTGGGGATGTCTTGATCGACTCACATGGAGCTGCGGTGATATCTGTTTGAGACGGCGCTCCAACTCGCCAAACAGTGATGACTCCATATCGCCACAGTCTAAATGCTGGAGGAGGGGCATGCGGGGGAGCCCTTCGACCGAGGACAAGTTGGAGCAGGCGCGCAAATCTAGTTTCTCCAGGTTTGTCAACTCAGCGGGAAGGCCTTGGAAGGATCGAACCGAGGCAGGAAGCTGAAGATGCCGAAGGGCAGGCATGAGGGGGCAGCCGCGAAGGCTTGTTGCATGAACTGGGTGCCTTTGCTGGCAATACTCGAGAGTCTCCAAGCGAGGCAAGATGTTTGGAAGGCCACGCATGCTGCTGATTGACGGCGGCAGCATCAAATGTCGAAGATTTGGCGTGGGCGGAAAGCCTTCGAGCGATGTGAGCGAACGGCAATGGATGTAAATCCCCTCAATGAACGGTAGATGTTCTGGGAGGCCATGAAGGCTGGAAAGTACTCCGTCCAAATACAAGATCTTCAGATTGGGTGTGTATGGAAAAGCTTCGAGGGATGCAAGTTTACTACATCCGCTGAGGCTCATCCAGTTGAGGGACGGCAGGAAGCTTGGCAGTCCATGAAGACTGGAAAATGAACCGCTCAGTCTCAGTCTCTTCAGACTTGGCAAACCTTCCAGGGACTCGGGCTCGGATGACGATGGCAAATCAAGCTCAACAAGTGGTTCCCGATAGGTCGTTGGCATGTCAGGGACCACGAGTTCCATTGTGATTCTTGGCACCCACAACCTTGCAAGCTGAGTAAAACCTTGGAGAGACTCGAGTTTGCTACATTGTGAGAGATCCATGGTCTCAAGGGACCTCAGGACTTTTGGCAGTCCTTCCAAGCTTCGTATTGATGGAGGCAATGTTAACTTGACCAATTTGGGCATCTCTGGCATTCCATCGAGCGACAAGAGTGAATGGCACATGAGCTCAAGGCTCTCGAGGGATGGCATGGAGCTTGGCAACCCACACAGGCTGGATATCAGTCCACCCAGCTTCAATCTCGTCAACTTGGGTGTCTGTGGAAAGCCTTCGAGGGACTCAAGCATCGAGGCCTTCGACAGGTCGAGTTCATCAAGCGAGCATAGGCGGGCCATTGGCATTCCAAGGACTTTAAGGCCACTTGGAGGCTTCAGCACCGTCAATTTTGGCAAGTTGAAGAGACCCTTGAGTGATGCAAGTTCAGTGCACCGCGACAAATCCATCACATCAAGTGAATTCAAGATCTCTGGCAGCTCTTCCAAGGTGGCAATTGACTGAGGCAGGATCAACTTTGTCAGCTTCGGCATCTCGGACATCCCGTGAAGTGTTTTCAGTTGAGTGCAGCCCTCGATATCGAAGCGGCAAAGCGACGGAAGTATTGAGGGCAATCCTTGGAGACTCCCAACATTTGTAACGAGTTTGAGGTGCTCGAGCATGGGCATATCGGGCATTCCTCTGAGCGACGTAACGTTTTTTCCCTCAAGCTCCAAATCCTTCATGAAATCGAACCTCCGCGGCATTCTGAGGAGAGGTTCGGTGTCTTTGGGGGCCAATAACTTCATTTTGGGCTGCTGCTCAATGCTCAACACAACGGAGCGACGGCTTTCTCTTCGGCGCCATCTCGAATGTTCCTCATCAAAGTCATACCCATCGGGCTGGATTGCGACGTCCATCAAAGGAGGCTCCCACTTTGCCACCGCGTTGGGAACCTCCAGCACCGATAGACTGCCGTCGCCACCTTTGTGCTGATATCCGATGTATGTTGCATTTTGGTCGACGCTCAACAGGTGGAGTGTCATGCTCTTATCGGAACTATCTGCCTTGTGGCGGCTTCCGGTGCTCTGCTGCGGGATCCCTACTTCAGAGGCCGCTGCCCCCAAGAAACGTTCGAGAATCTCGCGCGACTGTTCCATGACCACTTTGAGGATGTTGCCTGACAAGCTCGCTTCGGAAAGCGCTTCGGTGACGACAAGGGCCAACGATATCCAAAATCCATTCGGGACTCGATCGGCGGCAGATACGGGCGGCTCTGATTCGGAACCATACTGCTGCTGGGACGACGCTCGGAACCAAGCCATTTTCTTGGCCATACCCTTCAGATAGAGCGATTGAGGGAGTTTGATGGCTGTTAAGTTCGCGATCGGAGGCAGACCTCGGATCGATTCCAATTGATCGCACATCCACATGTCCAAGATCTTGAGCGAGTTTAGTTGGGTCGGGAATCCACTGAGCGTCTGGAGTGAGCCCGGGAGACGGAGAGTCTGCAGCTTGGGCAAGGGCGGGAATCCTGCGAGAGTCTCCATTCGGCTGCAGCGACCCATGTCTAGCAGTATAATTTGATCAAAGTATTGATAGAGGCAGTCGATGCTCTGGACAAGTGGAGGCAGGTATACGACTCGGATGTTCGGCAATTGTGATAGTCCTTTGAGGCTTTCGAGCTTTGCGCACCCGGACAAATCGAGAGAGGCTAGAGCGGGTAGACGCTCTGGCATTCCCTTGAGGTCAAAGATGTTGCACCGAAGTGTCAAGGATTCAAGTTGGGGCATCTCTGGACATCCGGTCAAGTCTATGACTCTGCCGACAGAGTCGTCGACGGCAAGATCTTTGATACGCCTCATGATTCGTGGCCTGTCCGATAGCATGGAGGCTGCGCAGTTGATCAATCGGAGGTGAGCAAGTCCCTGAAGATTATGCAAGATGCACAATTCGTGCGGGAGCAGCTTGGAAACTTGCTCGTCGGTGTGGAGTGGATGGTGTTCGAACCGGACGATGCTGTATGTTGAACGGCAGTCAGTAGCGCCGCATTTGCCCTTACACCGCAGCTGCCCGTTTTCAACCAGCACAATGGAGCTGTCGAGGATCTTGAACTGATCCTGTGGACTGAGTGAGCGGAAAGCGTCGTGGGCATCATCGTGGCATATTTTCCAGTAGCCGACAGTGTCGAAGGGATGGCCGAGACCCAGGCCCTTGCTTCGGGACGTGATGGCTTTGCGGAGGGCCTTGTGCCGAGGGACAGCCGCCCAGAGCGACAGCTCCTTCTGATATGTCTCGAAACTCGTGGGATATCCGTTCTTGCGTGTGAGGAAGTGGCATATTCCCTGGAGGATGCTCTTCCGACCTATCGATTTCTCAACCTTGCCAAAGATATCGCGGACTTTCACCCTGTCTCCAAAGTGGGACTGGGCAACTCGAAACCAGGCGTCCTCAGAAACAAGTGAGAGTACATTCTTGTACTGTGGCGCCAGGTCGGGAAGGAGAGCCAGGGTTCCGCCATCGATGGCAGCGATGAAGGCGCCGTTGCAGATCAAGATCGTGAGGATGTCATGGCTGGCGAGAGAGGCACAGACACGGCTGGGATGGCCGGAATGAGGGCTGTCCTGTTGTTCGGCTTCGGTAATGGAAATTATGCCACCCGTCGGATCGTCCTCCGATGTGCTCTTGTGGGACATGCTGAACTGCAGCGGAATCGGGCTGGCGACCAACGATGGAGGAGAGGGCAGCTGCTTTTCTGGATGCCTGGGCTTGGTGCTTTTATCTTACGTTCGGACATTCGGCTGGCTGGGCCACCCATCGGACATCCCGCCTGGCTGCGCCGGTTGTCTTGCTCCCCGATTTTGAGCATTGGCGCATGTTATCACTCAAACCATTTGCGTGCTGGCCATAACCGTTCAGTGATGCGTTTCTGGATCTGAATCAAGGACGCTTTCTTGCTCAGATGGCTCTCCGCAAGCGAAAGGCACCACCCAGGCGACGGCGATTCAAGCGACTCGATCTCCAGGTATGCTCACAGTGCCAGGAAGCCAAGCGACTCGAGAAGGCCGAGTATCTTGATATCGATACATCATGGAGCTGTCCAGAGAGTCGAATGCATTCATCACACTCCCACATCACCACAGGAGATCAAGTGTATTCAAGACTGTGCTTCCCAACCCAACTAAACATTGAGATTGCCAACCAGGACGGGAAATAATCGCATGGCTTGCCCACTAGAGCCAACAGAAGGAGGGTATTGATGCCATAGTGATCATTTCTGAGGGGAAAGCTGTAGATATTGATATGGGCATTCGTCCAGGTCGGAAAGGCGAGGCTGGTGAGCTTGGCAAGACCGCTTGTTCTCGAACCTCACCACCAGATGTAACCCAGCATCCCTCGCTTGCTCTTCTCAATGGCTTTGATCTTGGGGTCGGCTTGGTCATTGCCATGTTGGTGAGTCCTCTTGTACCAGCTGAAGGCAGTGTCAACGTCCTTGGTGACGCCAAGACCACTTTCGTAGCAGAGACCAAGGCTGAATTCGGCAGGCGCATATCCTTGGTCCGCTGCTTTGGTATACCATTCAACCGCCTTGCGGTAATCTTGGGTAGTTCCCCTGCCCTTCTCGTAGCAAACGCCGAGCATGTGTTGGGCAGCTGCGTCGCCATGCTCTGCGGCCTTGTTGTACCATTCGACTGCCTTGACGTTGCTCTGAGCAACCCCTTGGCCATTCTCAAAGCAGGAACCGAGCCTGTATTGCGCAGTGGTGTCGCCTTGATCGGCTGCCTTGGAGCACCACTCGACAGCCTTCTCGTAACTCTGCACGACTCCACGGCCGTGGTAGTAGCAATCGCCGAGATGGCTCTGGGCAGCGACATGTCCCTGGTCGGCCGCTTCGCTGTACCAGTGAGCAGCGTTGATGATGTTTTGGGACACTCCCTGACCTTCCTCGAAGCAGCGGCCTAGTTTGTACTGAGCGTCTGCGATTCTCTGGTTGGCCGCCTCTGTGTACCACTTTACGGCCTTGGTGTAATCTTGGTCGATGCCATGCCCTTCGTAATAGCATTCGCCCAGGCTATACTGAGCAGAGGCATGGCCTTGCTCGGTAGCGCTGGTATACCATTCCACTGCTTTGACATAGTCCTGGGTGACTCCTTGGGCGTTCTCAAAGCAAGTACCGAGCGAATATTGCGCTTTTGCGTTGCCGCGCTCAGCCGCCATGGTATACCATTCGATGGCCGCGGCATAGTTGCGTTCGACGCCCCGACCATAATGATAGCAGAGCCCGAGCATGTACTGGGCACCCGGATTCCCCTGTTCGGCCACCTTTGTGTACAGTCTGGCGGCCTGGACGTAGTCTTGATCGACTCCCCGACCGTAAAAATAGCAGGAAGCGAGGCCGTGCTGAGCGGCCATGTTTCCCTGCTTTGCGGATTTTGCGTACCACTCTGCGGCCTTGGCGTAGTCACGGACAACGCCACGGCCGTGGTGGTAGCATTCGCCAAGATTCCACTGGGCGACGGCGTTTCCTTGATCGGCGGCCTTGGAGTACCACTCGGCAGCTTGGCCGTGGTCTTGCACCACTCCTTCTCCCTTTTCGTAGCAAGTGCCAAGGATCAACGAGGCGGCGGCACTTCCCTGGTTGGCGGCTTTGGTGTACCACTGGACGGCTTTGAGATGATCCTGGGAAGCCCCTTGCCCCATTTTGTAGCAACTGGCCAAGATTAGTTGAGCAGCGATGTGGCCTTGTTCGGCAGCTTTGGTGTACAGCTCGAGAGCTTTGTTCTCATCTTTGCTGAAGCCGATGCCGTGATGATGGCAAGATCCGAGCTGAAACTCTGCATACATGTTGTCTTGTTCAGCAGACTTGCGCATCAACTTGATGGCCATCCACGGGTTCTTTGCGAGCCCCCAGCCGTTGAGATAGCAGGACCCTGTCCAGTATTGGCTATCGCTGAGGCCCTCGCCGTCGAGCTTTTCAAATAGTTCTACTGCTTTGGCTTGGTTCTGGGCCGTTCCGAAGCCGTGGATCAGACATACGGCCACAAGATGCCTGGACAGCCTATCCTGCTCCGAGCCGAGCTGGCAGAGCTCAAAGAACCTGCGGGCGACAGGAGAGCTCGAAGACGACAGCTTTCCCTCGACCGCAGCCATGCATTCGTCCTCACCAAGAGGAAATTCCGCCGACTTGTTCTCCCGGATGAGTCTGGCGCCCATCATGCGATCCTGCTGAGTGCCTAAACCAAGATAGTACATCCAGCCGAGCATGTGGGTTGCGATTGGCCTGAATACTTTGTCGGTGGACTTGCTACTGACTTCATTCCAGTACGAAAAGGCGTCTGTGTGCCGCTGCGCAACACCGAGCCCTGAGAGATGGAGCCAACCTAGATAGAAGTAGGCCTCGAGGCTCTTGGATTTGGCAAGATTGCGGTAGATCCGGCCGGCGGCATCCAGCAGAGGTGTCTGTTCCTTGCTGATCGGATCGACCCTGCTCAGTTTGAAGAAATCCTTGATTGCCTTGGGTGGTCTCTTCGCGCGGAGCTCTCCAGCTTGGGTCAGGAGACGGGCAGCGACTTGATGATGAGCATCCTTGTCGCCAGCCTGATATCGATCTATGAGGAGGAGCGGGATATCGTGATTCACCGGAAGGTCGTCATCGGCAGAGCCCGAAGGTGGGGGCGGAGGCTGGGGTGTTTCGACGGGCTGGGTTCTCCGCGTGCTGCCATTACGGCTCATACTGCTCAGGATTCTGGACATGGGGATTGGGGAAGTAACTGGGGAAGCAATTGGCGAGGCGATTGGGGAAGCAATTGGGGAAGCAATCGGCGATGTTGTCGTGAACAGCTTCAGGGCAGCGGCGATATCGGAGAACCCGGGCCGCTGCGCAGGGTCTTGGTGCCAGCAGCATTCGATCAGCTGCCATACTTCATCCGGGAGGCCCTCGAATCGCCTGGGTCGGTTGCCACGGATGACTCGAGTGGCAATCTGACCCGACTGCATAAGCTGTCCGTCGACTGTCACCCAGATCTCGCCGTTATTGAGTACTTGGTACATGGTGATGCCGAATGCGTACACGTCCGTCTTCTTGGTCGAGCCTGTAGGGTGGTCGTCGTCGAGCATCTCGGGTGCCAGAAAGTCGGCCGTTCCACAGAACAGAGCCGTCGAGTGCGTCCGCGCTGCTGCAACCGTCGCAGTCCGCTGGCGTGCAAGACCAAAGTCTATAATGACGGCGTTGAAATATTTGTCAAGAAGAATGTTTTGTGCCTTGATATCGCCGTGGACAATGTTTTCATTGTGGAGGTACTCCATGCCAGAGGCAACCTGGCCGAGGAGTCGAAGCTTTTCGGCAAGATCGCGGGGGGCGGCTCGGATGTATTTGCCCAGAGAGCCGTTGGGCATGAGCGGCGAGACCATGAAGGGGCGGATGGCACGACCCTCGGCATCTCGATTGCAGGCTCCCGAGAGCGGCAGAACGTTGGGATGGCTCAACCGATGCCACACATTGACTTCGCGCTCAAAGCTCGTCTGTTCGTCGCTGTTCAAGGTGGTCTTCAGCTGTTTGACGGCGACATCCATGTTGCCAAGGCGAGCAGTGTAAACATCGGCAAAGCCTCCGCTGTCGATAGGCTCGGGGGACCGATTCGTGACAGCCTCGCTGGACAGATACCAGGGAGGCGGATGGATGACACTAGGGCTGGGGCAACTGGCTGCGGCTGCTGTTTCAGTTCGATCGGCCATGACTGCCAAACCAAGCGATGACGAAAGGCAGGACCGTGGTAGATTGAGAGGGCCGCGAGACGACAGGAAAGACCAGAGGCCGCAGGGGCTTTTGGAGTTGATGGCAAGCCTGAGGAGGCCGGGGGGATGTGCTGGCCACTTCCATCTTTGGCCAGGCGTGGGGGCGTGGGGCTTGTTGGGTGGCGGATGACAGCCGCACACAGGGATTCAGTTGATGGGGCCCTCCTCCAACGAGACCAGGCTGGCCCTCCCCGTCCGCCGCATAGCTGGTTGTCGTGAATGGACCTGTGTATTCAAGAACGAAGGCGCCGCCACTGGCCATGCATACAAGTTGGCACGGATCCTCTACTTGACCGCGGGCGCAATGGTTGTATAGCAAAATAGAGATTATGGCCTGCCACGAGAGAATGGCCGAGGCAGGTATGGCGATCGACCAAGTGTCGTTGTCGACGACACTCTAGGCCACCGAGGCTTGTGACGCTGAGGCAGGAGGCGGATCAAAGGCCGATGGCTCCTCCACAGACTTGCGGCTCGGGAGGCCAGACGCATCGCCGTTGGCGGCCGAAGAGGATTGGTTTCGTCCGCGATGTACAATCTTGAAGACCTTGGCAAAGCTCTCTTTGAGAGAGTGTGCCGAGGACGACGGCGCCAGCTTGCCGTCGCCTCCGCCTGTGCTGAGTCGAGAGGCGATCTCGCCCATGCCTGAGGCGCCCGTGTTTGGCAGGCTGGCCCCAGAGGCAGAGAGCGAGGCCGGCGCTGGCGTCGAGGAAAAATGTGCGTCTCGGTTGGGAGGAGAGATTGAGCGGCGTGAGAGGAAGCTCCCGAGGCTGCCAGTCATGGCGCCCTTTTTCTTGTGATGCTGGCGCCTGTAGTCATCCATCAGGTACTTGATCTGGATCGAGTTGAACGCGCCGCGCCGTTTCTGGCGGATCAGGGCGATCGCATCGATCGGGGCGATTCCGGCCTCGACCAGGGCGATTGCGACCATAACCGGAGCACGGCCAAGGCCAGCAACGCAGTGCACAGCCTGAGCGTGCGTGCATGAGAGGGACGGAAGCAGTCAGCAAGTGAGGCACATCCATCTGGCGAGGCACAGGAATACGGCAGGCGATTCAAGGTCGAAAGAGCTGTGGCACTTGCGCGATCCACCAATCTCACCCTGCGCTCACACCAAGCCGGGATACCTACGATAGCTGGACCGGACTCGGCGCTGAACGTCACAGGAACATGCGATGCCGTCGGGAAGGGGCCAAATCGACTCTCGCACAGCTGCAGGAAGGTTTCGATGGCACAGGGAGCCGGGATTCCGCCGTCCTTGATCATCAAGTCGGTGACGTGAATGCCGCCGTTCTGGAAATACTCTCTGGAGTACGTAGGCTCACACAGACGCACAATGTCGCTCACGGTATGCTTCTTGAGCTCCTGCAGATTCCACACAGTATCGAGTCTGTTAGTGAGGGCGCATGGCAAGGCGTACGGCAGGCGGCTCCAACCCAATCCGCAGCGACAAGTCCAAGGGTCAGAGAACACTGGTCCAGGAAAGCACAGATGACACTTGATTCTGAGTCCACAAAGGGCATGCTGGCTCTTAGGCTGGAGAGCCGCGGTACAAGGCAGATGGGTCCGTACCTCCAAATAAAATCCTAGGCTGTCCTCGGTTGGGCAATCCATGATAACGAAACGCATGTGATTTACTTCGACGAGGGACATGGCACGGACCAGTAAGCCGGTACGGCTCGAGGGCTGCACGCTTGTCATGTGTGAACGGTGAGGATGGCTGAAAGCGATACGGTCGCGAATGGCGGTGGGCGATTTGCAGCGGCGAGAACGATATACTCGGCTGTTCGTACGCTTGATGTAAGTTGTCAATCCAGTGTCAGAATAGAAAGTGAAGCAGAGTCTCCGCGCTTGAGAGCAAATTGTGGAGCGGCGTAGCCAAGATGGATCAGATCGTCGGAAATCCAAGGCAAGGAGGGTAGAGGGGGGGGAGTTATGTTGCGGGGGAGCTATGTTGCAGGGCGGTACTGCGTCAAGCGTCGAACGTAACCACGTTGGCAGAACGGAGGCCAACGAAGGAGGAAGGAAGGGAAGACAAGGAGGGAGCGACCGATTCACACAACCAGGATCATAAGCAGAGCGGATGGATTTGGTTGAACTTGAGAACGTGGACCGGGGGTGCTGGAAGCTGTCGACGACGACGAAGGACACGCTTGAATATCTAGTTGCAGGCCGAGGATGAGGGGTTGACGTACAGATGGATGGTATATCACTGGAAGCTCGGACAGGGCAGCGGCACTGGGTCTTGGATACCAGGGCTCAGATGTCGGTCGCGAGGTCCGAGTTGAGTTTCGAGTTTCGAGTTTCGAGTTTCGAGTTTCGAGTTTCGAGTTTCGGGCAGAGGTGCCGGATATTTGCGACCGGTCACGAAGCAGCGAGTCAGACGACGTCCGATGGCAGGAATGAAGCGAGGCTGATATAACGAGCGAGTCCAGGGAAGGAAAGGAGACGACGTATGTGGATTTGGGACAGAGACAGGAAAAGCCAAAGTGTCGATATGGACAAAAGCGGATAACAGCTGGAGGGGGAGCGACAACTGGCACTGGAAAAGCAGCGGGAGGGCAACTTAACCAGGATCAGGCAGGGCTCCCAGGGCAAGGCAGGCAAGGGCAACGAAAATGGAGGCGGAGGAGGAGGCGATGGGAAGGACAGCGGTATCCAGGACGGAGAAAACCAAGGGCATAGTCATCAACGAGAACAGGAGCACAAAAGGAGGATCGGCGGGACAACAAATAGGACGGTGGAGCCACTGGAGATCGGATGGAACGGAGGGACAGAGCGTGCAAAGGAAGCGGGGTCAGCGACAGACGATGGGATGGGTTGGGCGACGGGTTGGAGGCGAGAGAGGAGTGCGCGAGAGAAGCGTGGGGCGAGGCAACAAGTGCAAAAGCAAGTGCAAAAAGCAAGTGCAGATGGAGGCAGAGCGAAAGCAAGATGGGGAGGACGGCCAGGATCCACAAATACTGAGCGGGAGGGCGGAACGAACAATGGGTGTGTTGGGGTCCGAGAGCGACAGGAGCACGGCCGCAAGGCTCAACGGCGAGCACCGGACGGGCATGGAGCGGGCATGGAGCGGGCATGGAGCGGGCATGGGACCGCAGGCCGAGGGGCCGACTGTGATGCGGATGTAGTTATGTGAATGCGATGGGGTGTTACAGACAATCCAATAAAAAACGGGACACCCGGGTTTTTGACCATTCATCGAATATTTTGTTACCCAATGCTATCGCGCGCTGGCCATGACCATTCGCCACACAACCACTCTCCAGAGGAAAGTTTCACTCTCACTCTGCCACACTGCCATCCACCGAGCAGGTCTCTCACACAAGAGGGCAACACACCTCTACAAGTCCAAGCGACTGGATGAGCGAGTGGCACAGTTCAGGGACCAGGTCCGCTCCATCGACCCACGACGATTCGTTTTTGTCGACGAGACAGGGATCAGGAGATCCATTTTCCCTCTCTACGGATACTCACCGAAGGGTGCTCCGCTTCGCCAGCGCAATCACATGAAGCACAAGTCTGTCTCGGCTGCATTTGCCATCAACCACTCTGGTGTGCTGCATCGATCGCCGAGGATGGTCAGTGATCTTCACCCCACCTGCCTCGCCCGACTTCAATCCCATCGAGAACTTCTTTGGGATTGTGAAGCATCAGTACAGGAAGGCAGCAGCGCTGAATGCGTCTGAGGGGTTCAAGGTCGGGATGGTGACCCTGTTTGAGTCTGCCGTGCGGAGGGTGCTTCCAGATGTCTTCCCACGGCTGATTGAGCGAGCGATGCGCTTCTGGGGTTGAGTTCCCTCCAATCAAGCCGCCATTTTCACGCTCAAATCCCTGGCTTGAACCTCTCGGCGATTTTTGAACAGGGTCACTTCCCCAACCAGCCCGCAACGACGGGCTCCTGCTCTCGGGTATAAATGCCACACCTTCGTCCTGCTGCTTTCTTCCCTCATCTCGCCTTGATCTGATCATCGCGCCATTGTACGATAAAAAAAAGTCTTTGCTCTGACCAGTACCACTGGCAGGCATCCAGCATCCTCTGCCCCCATGCCTCCGAAGCGCAAGGGTACCGGTGATGGCCAGCCTCAGCCTACCAGGCCCAAGAAAGCCAAGTCACAGTCGGAGCCTGTCTCTGGTTCGTATTCTGACCCCACGCATGCTTGGTAGTCTGTTGCTCCGTCGCTCACCACCACTGCTTCTGCAGATCCAATGGATGTCGATCCCACCGAGCCTGGTCCATCTACTTCCTCGAGTACCGGCAAGCGATGGCGCCAGTGCGATGGCACCGATCACGAACGTTGCAACACCAGCAAGTGTCCAAAATACCGGCCCCTCAAGAGTTCTGTCGTCCCTCTCGTGGATGGAAGGCCATCCGCCCCTCAGTTCAGCTGCTTCAAGCAGACGATGGATGGCTGTTGTCTCAATCCCGCTCTCCGCGACAAGATCCAGGCCACCGTCGAGGCCATGACCCAGATCCAGTTCGAGGCATCCAGGCTGCTCAACCTGCACATCCTCCGGTGCATCGAGCAGGATCTTCCCGTCCCCGTCATCTCCAAGTCCACCCCTGCTTTCATCCGCCAATGCTTCAAGATCGTCCAGGACGGTGCCCTCTCCCGACGCAGGGACAACGAGAAATACAACGAGCATCTGGTCGCTTCCTTTCGCGACTACCAGACCACTCGGCACGCAGACCTGCCTCCGGCCCCTCGTCTGCCTGATGGTGCTCACAGTCAGCCTCTCACACTGGCTGTCAATGCCTATGCCACCAACTGCACCACCCACCTCGACCTGGCCTACTGGCGACTCCTTCGCCGCTTCTGCGCTGCCGTCTTCCCAGCCAACAAGCATAAGCACGAAGCCATCGAGGCCTGTCTCGAGCTCTTCGAGAAACCAGGGCAGACTCCACCCAAGGCCGATCTCGAGTTCCTCTATCCAGACTTTGGCCACGTCCTGGACGAGTTTCGGTACAGCAGCGACCAGGACCGCTTCCGGGCCCTCCATCGCCTCTCACACCATGTGGGAATCCTCGCCCGAGACAAGATGGTCGACAATGTCCACAAGTGGATCGACTGTGACATGCCCGCCCTCCGAGTCACCGAGCTGCAGCGCCAGGCCAAGCTGGACGAGCTCACTACCCGAGGCATTCCCTCCGACGACAAGCGATTCACCACGGCCAAGTCTGAGCTCGGCACCACCAAGTCCAAGATCAACAAGCTGGCATCCAGGATCAAGTGGTGCCTCAAGCAGCTCGCTCTCGACACTCCTCCGGCCGTGTGCACGATAGGTCCTCTGTGCACTGCCAAGGCCAAGTATGTCAAGATCGACACGGTCACTCTTTGGCAACTCCTGGTCCAACGAACATCGTCCTTAGGACTCACCAGGGACAAGCTCAAGGATGAAGGTGATGACGGCATCAACAACCAGGATCGTCTCTGGCGCAGTTGCTTCAAGCTGCGTAGTTCCCTCTTCCAAGAGCGGGACGTGAACAAGAAGCTGTTCAACTACGAGATCAGCACCGATGGCATTGGATGCACCATCGGCCTCGTCAAGTTTGTGCGTCGAACCGATCACACCGAGACCATCGAGCCTCCTCCGACTGCCGAACAGCGCATCCAGGCCCACATCGGCGACCCAGACCCCGATCGCACCACTTGGATTGGCATCGATCCTGGAGTCGGCTCCATCTTCACGGCGGTCATCCAAGCACCGGGCCACCAAGACGAGGTGGTCTCATTCTCGAATGGCCACTACCAGCACATGTGTGGCCATACGTCCAACACCAAGTGGCACAATATCATGAAGTATCGACTCAGCATCGAGACCTGGATGTCGACCACCCCCTCGCCCAAGGTGTCGTCCTCGGAGGCTTTCAAGGTCCATCTCACCCATGTCCTGCGACCGGAGCTGCGAGTGCAGCTCGACTTCCACCTTGGCAAGAAGGCCCGTCACCATCGATTCACGGGCCACAAGAGGCGCCAAGTGGCCGTCGACAGGATGTGCAAGGCCGTCCTGAAGCACGCCCCGATACGGACCGATGTGGTGATCGCCTTTGGCAATGCATCATGGCGACAGGGCAAGGGCTATGCATCCAGCCCTCGGAGGCAGCGGTTTGCTCGGTACTTTGAGCAATTCGAGCACCACCGACGCCGTCCCAATCACCATCATGGAGGCATCAAGGTGGCCTCGACGAACGAGTTCAACACCACCTCGCAGGTGTGCTCCAACTGCCTGGAGCCAGTTCGGTTGGAAGGACTCGATGCGCCCAGTGTTGCGAATTCCCACTTTGTCAGGAGCTGCAAGAATCCCAGCTGCCGGACAGTGTGGAATCGCGACGTCAATGCGGCGCGCAACATGATCACAGTATGCAGGTCGATTGTGGAGATCGGAGAGCGACCGGCGGTCTTCACTCGGAGGCTGCCAAAGTGATCTGTTTATTTCTTGTGGCTTTGCTTGACGCAAGCACAGCACATACTACATGTTCATGGAAACGGCTATATTGTCCCGTTTTTTTCTGAATAAAGTGTATATGTTAGGTGGGCCGAGATCCGAATCGCACTCGTCCGGGAGTATGGGCTCGCAGTGCTCAAGCGAGGACGGCGGCAGGGACATTGGTGTGTCGTTGCATACGCTGTTGCATATGCTGTTGCATATGCTGTTGCAGATGGCATGTTCGTCACTTTGACTGGGCGAAGGCATGATGATGATTCGGGCGTTACGGCGAACTTATTGAAACGGACATCTTCCCACACGGATGACTTGGGTGGGTTGTGTGAAGCAGACGACTTTGATATACAATCTGCCATGAACAATCGCAAGTCCGGCCTGGCCAGAGACACCGAGCGCAGCACCCGCCACCGAGCGGCAATACTCTTGTCGCCACGACCGTTGGCTCCAGAGATCCACTCGCCGATCCATCTGTCGATCCATCTGTCGCTCCATCTGTCGCTCCATCTGTTGATCCATCTGTTGGCCTGTCGTTTGGCTGGGGCTGTTTGTGGGAATCGACCCAGGTGCCAGCTGCGCAGATCACCTGCCCTGCGCTTCCCCCGCCCGACGGCCCCCATTGGCCCGTGTGCTCGCCCGCCCATTGGCCCGCGGCGTGGCACGGGACCGGTGCGCTGCGCACGGGCTCCACGTCACGCAAGGCTGTTCTGTGCCGTTCTGCTCCGTTCTGTGCCATTCTGCCCGTTTCTGTGCCACCGGCCCTTGTGTGCTTTCCTCTTGCCGCCTGCCATTTCGGGACGCGCGTCCAGAGAGACGCTCTCGCTGACCTCTCGCTGGCCTCTCGCCCTCGCCCGTTATTTGTCCTTCGCTTTCTTGCTCCATCTCCATCTTGTTCATTCATCAACCAGCCGGCCCTCCAACTCCCCGATCGGCCTCCTCCGCCTGCCTTCGGTCCCCCCTCGTCGGATTCGTATCTTTGCAGTCCGTTCTGCAGTGACACCGGATTCTGCATCTCGCCCGTGCTCGAATCCCCGTTGTACTCGCCTGCCAAGCTTCTGCTCTCCCAGCCATCTCCATGATTCTCGATCGCCCTGCCTTGTCGGGCCATGTCGCCGCGGATTCTGGGCTGGCCATCGTCCGTGGCGATCCCCCGTCTGCCGACGAGGATGAGTTCATGTCTTGCTTTCTCAACGAAGATTGCTTCCTCCTCTCGTCAGCGGCGCTGGCCACGCCTCCGGACGATCGCTTACCCTCCGACACCCCCGCTTCTGATGACAGCGCCTTTGCATCCTTCTTCCATCCGTCGCCTTCTTCTTTCTCGACCTCGTCCTCGTCCCGTCCCTTGGGCTCTTCGCCTTCGCTCTCGCCCAAGGTCTCCCTCCCGTACACCATCCCTGTTCTCACCCAGCCTCTGTCGCCGTGCTCTTCGCTGCATTCGTCACCGCCTCCCATCGCCACACTGGACCATCTGCTCACCATCTCTGAGCCCACATCCGAGACAACGCCGCCTCCAGATCTGTCGTGCATCTCGTCCGAGCCCGCGGCGTCCCTGGGGTCGTCGTTTTCGTCCTTCTTGAATGCGTCGGACCCGCTTGTCGCCTCAATTCCGCCAATCGACTCGTCCCTGCTCTTTGCGTCGCTCGCCGCCGATTCGTCGCTGCAGAATGTCTCTTCGGACTTGGCCATGGCTTCGTCCTTCCTGCCGACCTCGATGGCCACTTCTCCCATCGCAGCCTTGGCGCCGTCTTCATCTCTCCCTCCAAACCCGTTCCTGGCCACTCCGGGGCTCCCGCTGGCGACCTTCCCGACCGCCGCCGTCCCCTCCGTATCTGCACTTTCTCCCAACCTGATCTCCATGATTACCTCCGGCACCGCGGCAAGCTGCCAGCGACTCCTCAACGAGCCGCAGCGGCGAAAACCCGGCAGGAAGAAGAAGGTAATCACAAATGTACACAGTGCTGGCGACAGCGACTGATCCCTCGGAGATCACACCGCGCAATCTGTTGCAATGCAGCAATCCACAACTGAGCGATGCTCGATCGACGCATCCCCACCGCCCACAGCTGCGTTTCTGCGCCGATAAGCTTCGAGCTGACTCTCTTTCATCCCTCGTTCTGTTTCTCGCTTCCTCTGCTTTCTCACCGGCGGCATTTTCTTGGATCGGCCGGCAGACCGACTTGATGGATATTACGAAGGCCGACTTGCTCGCCGCAAAGCCCGAGTTGCTTGTCCCCACGAGCGAGCTTTCAGCCTCAAGCGCCATGTTGGCGCAGAAGTTGCAGCGCCCTGTGTTGATGCCCAAGCCCGAGTCGGGACCCCCAGTTGCGCTATCCCCGCTACCCACCCTGGCTGCCACTGTGCCTGCGACCCTCATCTCGTCCGGCCGTATTGCATCCAAACCCGCTGTCTCACCACCTCCAAAGACGGCAGCACCAGCGATTGCGGCTGCACGGACTGTCGAGATTGCTCCGAGCTCGCCCGCTCTCAAGAAGCGAGCCACGACCTCTATCGTTTCGCCAACGACGCCTCTGCCCATCGTCGACCCCATCGTGAAGATTGAGATGCTTTCTGACACTGAGTCGACGGACAGAGACCCGAATCTCTGCACTGTGTCGATGGACGCCGAGGTCAGCTGCCTCGGCCCTTCAGTCGCCCTCGTGGCCAACAAACGGCAGGAGCGCATGATCAAGAATCGTGAGGCAGCAGATCAGTCGCGCAAACGCAAGCGCGAGCACCTGCAGCAGCTTGAGCTCCACGCCCAGCAACTTGTTTCCGAAAACGACCAGCTCAAGCAGCGCGTGCTGGAGCTGGAGAGCATGAACTGGGAGCTCAAGCTTGAGAACGAGTCGCTGAAGGCCAAGTTGGCCGCTACTGGAAGCAGCAGCAGTGCCGGCGTTGATCGTGTTTCTCTTGGCGCAAACAAAAAGACCGTTGGCACCCTTTTCATGGTATGTGCGTGCATCGGAATCGGCCGGGCAGCTACCCAGCGTCTGCTGGAACTGGTCGTGTCCGCCTTGTGTACGATCATCGTCGGCACCATTATCGTCAGCAACAGCATTGCTATAGCCTCCGCCATCGCCGCTAACGAGGAAGCTATCGATACGATCCGATGGCTGGCTCGTGTTGGCTTGGACCTGAGCTTTCTGAGGATCTGTCCCTCGTGGCCAAGCAGCGATTGCCTCTCCGGCTTTGATGACTAAGTTTGCTTTCATCTGTCTGTATGGCGCAGGTATTTTTGTTTTCGTTTGCCGTGATTCTCATGCCCGGGTCGCTCCACAGCAGCCCGCATCGTATCGATGGAAGCCACACGTCCAGAATCGGATTTTGGAGGTGAGCGGCGCCTGTGTGCCGCAGCTGTGACGATGTTGGCAGCGGGAGGGGGGGTTGATCACTGTCCAAGTCACCCGGAGACTACTGTTTGGGACTCTGAGCTCCAGACGGTGCCGATATCCCCGCACCCAAATTGACGGTGCAGTTTGCTTTGTGTCGCAGCGGATTCACCAATGCTCTCGAGGCAACCCCACACCAACATGGCAAAGTCTTTGCCAACGACGACTCTCTCGGACAAAAGATTGCCCTACTCGACCCCGTCCCTGCCCAGGCCGAAGGTTCGGTCTCGTCCTCACCACTCGCCCAGACGCCAGCCTCCCGCCACGCAGATCTGTCTGTTTCTCAGCTCCGACAGCAGCAGCTGATCGACGACATTGTGCGTCGGATCGGCCGTGACTCTGTGTCTGGCGCCTTTGGCGAGGACGGACCGTCGGATGCATTCCTGACTTCAACGTATCTCAAGCCGGCCGACATCCGTCAGCTTAGCACACTCCGCGATATATCCGTCAAGAACTTGACGTCGCTGCTGCAGGGTTGGAGCATGGCAACTTCCCATGGCGGCGTGCAGCAACTCTATATCGACTCAAAAGACGCAGAGTCCAGTACCATCGATATTCTCATGAACGATTCGACACACGTCCCTGTCGCTGAGCTCCTCCGCTTGCTCACCGGGCTTGAAAACGACGATGCCGCGGGCGGGCATACCGACTCGTCCAAGTCGCTAGGAACCAGAGACGCTCGCTCGACCCAGCAATCTGCCGGAGAGTAAGTTCATTGCATCGACTAATGGCCAGCGACGGATGCTCCAGGAATCGCCGAAATGCGTCTTCTCGGCCGATCATGTCGGTGACTAACTCAGGGTTCGATGGTCTTGCACTGCACTCAGCTTCAAAACGGACATTCGCAAGGTCATCAGTGATGCCTATGCATATGCCTCAGGCATACAGCTTAGCCCCTTCTATGCAGGCCTGTCTCCAAAGCAGTCCCGAAACCAGCCCAAACGCCCCTCGCCCCGATCGGTCAAGAAGACACCTGTCGCCAACTCCCAGAGATCCCCGTCCTCAGGCAACCAAAGCTGCGAAGCTCTCAAGTCCGAGTGGCTGAACGAGATCCGAAGCGGCCCCAAGCTGTCGGTTTACACCTTCTTGGGCACTTCTCGGCTCATGGATGGCCCCGATGCCCTGGTGGATGGCTCCCGACAACCTGGCAGCGCCGAGGTTGGCGAGTGGACAGGCAGCTCCAGCCGACTCGGCAACCAAGCCCCACATGATCTTCACAGCGACCGCCGCGAAACATACTTGCAGCTTGATCTGGAAGTTGTTGGCGCCAAGCTGGTGACCCGAAACTAGACACTGGTGTCTTTGCGATATATGACTTGCTGCTTTCTTGCGCTGCTGGCGCGCGTGATGATCACCCTCCGTTTTTATTCTATTTTTGCTTTCCGGGCCTCTGCCTGCCAACCCACCACTATTCCTTGCTGTTCTCGTTTCGGTCACTTATTCTGTTTCCAAAATGAAATGGGACAGTGTGTTTTCTGGAACCTGAATACACCCACCCACTCATTGCATTCATGGCCAAGCAAGTATGTCCAAGGAGACCGAAGTGGTGGCTGTCTTTGGGAATGCCTTGTGGAAGCAAGGGAAGGGATACGCATCCAGTCCCAGGAGGCTCAGGTTTGCCAAGTACTTTGAGCAGTTCATACACCACCAGAGACGACCACCAGACCGATCCGTCTCCAAGATCCATGTGTGCTCGGTGAACGAGTTCAACACATCCCAGGTGTGCTCACATTGTCGGGAAGCCAAGCGACTCGAGAAGGTCGAGCATCTTGATATCGAGTTAGTATAGGACTGTCCAGAGGATCGAGTGAATGCACCACACAAAGATATTGCCAACCAGGACGGGAAACAATCTCACGGCTTGCTCACTGGGGCCTACAGTCAGTCAGCGGGGTTCAGACATCTGAAGCCAGGAAGGGGAAGTGTCCCGTTTTTCTTGGATTGACTGTGAAGTCGGCAGGAATCGTCCCAACCACACCAACCCTGGCAGCAAACCACCTGTGCACATATCGAGCATTCACTAGGAGGGTGAATGAGCGAAATCAGATCCGTGGCCAGAGTGAGCAACTTCAAACCCCGGCGTGCTGGCCTCCATCAATCCTCCACCATGCAACCACCTGCTTCAGACAGAGGGTCTTGGCCGCTGACACATTATCACACAACATGGCTCAAATCGACACCGTTTGTGGCAACACCATCAAGTTCACCGACAAATACCAGCAAATACCGCCGACTCAACTGGACACGGATACCTCCACATTGTCCATAGTTTGCTTATCACCGTCGTCATAATCACTTGACCGCGAACGAACAGTCACCAGCGAACGGTCAGCCACACAATATCCCGACGATAAACTTGAACACGTTGCTGAACAACAGACCGCTACGCTCAACCAATATTGATGGTTACAGCACGCTGCGACCAGTTGCTCCGCTGGATTGTTTTGGGCTCCAATTGATCTCAGCAGGATCGAGTCAGGGTGATGGAGGGGATTTCCCGGATAGCGGAATCCAAGATCAGCCACGATGAATCATCCTGACCAGCGCTTGTGAGCCAACCGCTGTGTGGATGGAGATTTGGCCAAGTCGGCACCTGTCAGTGGATCAGTGTCAACGACACCTGACCAGCGGTTCGCCGCTGCTTGTTCTTTGTTCCTTGTCAGCTCGATCGTTGCACCTCTCAGCCCTCAGAACGGCTCAAGTCGAACAGGACAAGACTTCTCACGCGATGGCAACAGGTCTCGTGCGGGAACGACTGGCATTATATAAGCTCGCCCAACTCCCACCGAGATTGGCAAGTAGCCTTCCGACAACATGTCTCGCGAAATCATCCAGTTTCATAATCCTTTGCCAACTTGGTCCGGGTCCTACTCCGACCTCTCCTTCGCTGCGGAGGAGAGTCAAACTGATGACCTTGGGCATTCAACTCTCGAGAGTTGGACAGATGAGGATAGCATCGAAGAAATTGATCGCCTCACATCCCAGCAGGTCAATTTGGCCGAGGCTCTCGAGTTGATTCGTGCTTCAAAGGCGCCTTCCGAGCTCGATACTCTTGAACTCCACACTGCATACAACACAATTCTCAACAGTGACCTGGTTCCTCGACCTCAAACAACTACTTCGATGGCGCCGTCGCCCGGCATGACGGCGCCTCACATTGGAATATACAAATCCCAGCCTTCTTTCCCGCCCTCGATCACCAAGACGGCCACGAGCACGGCTCCCCGCATGTGCGTCGTATCAGTGCCGAAACCCCGTAGCAACACTTCCCATATCCTGTCCTTCCGGGATGAGACTACCCACGATCATGACAAGAGATGGCTCCAGATCAACCGCACCAGATCATATCCAAGCGGACTGACAGCGAGCTCCATGAAGAAGGTGCTGGGTATGATTGGCAAGCTCATCTTGAGGAAATAGAACCATAGCCCGATGAAGCTATGTGATGTGACAAGTACACCGCCAGTAACTTGATAATAAATCAGTCCAATCTTTCCCGAACTAGCGGAGATGGTTCCTCGTCTAGGCCAATATCGGCACCGGCGCTGTGGTTAGCGTGATGGGCGATATGCACATGCTCCACACTGTCGCATTCCATCCAGGTCTTGGTGGAACTCAGGCATCTCGTTCTGCATTTGGAGTATTGGGTGGCTCAGATCTTCTATTCAAGTGTGCCGATGAGCCATACTTGTCGTGGACGGCCCTATCCCGGCCCAGACACCTTACATGTTGCTCATTCCTCGGTGTACAAGCTTGGTTCAGAGTCACTCGGGCCACAGCGAGTACACACGGCGAAACAGATGGCAGACAGAGGGTCAGCTCGTCGGAATGGAGAGGTTGGTCGCTGTGGCGAATTCAACAACTTTGGTATCACGGGCTCCATTCCTCTTGTTTCGCACTTTTCTAGTCGCCCTGACACCTCCTCGAGCGAGGGTCTTGAGAACAGATGAAGGCTCTGGTGGTGTAGGTGAAGGAATGTAAACAGTGGTGTCAACCTTTGTGCGTCGGTGGGGCTTGATATCATTAAGGGACTAGGCAAGATTGCTCCTCACCTATCATTCCAGGAAAGGATTTCCATCCATGGGATACAAAGGGGTCGGATAGGACCGTGCTCACTGTCGAGCAGCCAGTGCCAAGGGAACTGGTGAAGGTTCGGCAATCCAGGATCAGTTGGACGGCATTGCGTTGGCACCCGCCGAATCGATAACGAAGTGTCGAGGCAAGGATCCGTCTTGGTGCTGGAGCCCAGATATCAGCCCTGCCAATATCATTGGCCGTGGCAGTCCCCCAGTTTGTCTCTGTCGCATATTGCTTCAACTTACCGAGGATCGCTCAAGTCGACTAGGGTGAACTTGAGACGATATGTTCCTTCAACTCGAATGTACACTTTGTCGAACGCAAAGAAGACACCAGCCTTGGAGCTGTCGGCGCTCTTGGAGAAAATACTTGAGGAAACCAAGTTCCCAAAGAGCGATGGCTGGGCAAATGGAAGCAACCGCTTCATGCTCTGGTCTTGAGAGCTCAAACCCAGATGCGAATATAGACCGACTGAATCTTCGCTGGCTCGGTGGCGGCTATGGCTCCGTTTACTGTCATGGAATTGATCCGTCGACACCGATGTTGACGACCAGGCTGGGTGAGGAGCTGACCGGGAAGTGATAGACAGGGAGGCTGCCCCATCGGTATTGAGGTCCTCTTGAGTAAATGCTTCGTTTCCTGCGAACCAAGCCTTCGGAATAGGGCTTGGTGGGAGGGAAACAGTCGCCTTGGCTTCGTTCTCAAGCATGTGGATGTCGGACGATTCCACATCTGGGGGTGGGGTCCAAGCGACACAGGGATCCGGGTTGGACCCTGCAGGTATGTCTTTGAGGAGAAGGGCTGGGGAAACTGGATTGACAGGAACTGCCTCCTTGAGACGTATCGGGTTGACAACAAGAGATAGATCTGCGGTGCCATCAGAAGAGTAGAGCTGGATATGGACAACAAAGCCTGAGGCTTCGATCATCGACGAGGGGCTAGAAGGGACAAATGATACTCATCAGTAACGAACGGTGATATCAGCCATGTAGTGGATGCTCATCCAGTGGTAGTGGTGATGGAGTAAGGCAGGAGGGAGAGACCGGATGGATCATGGACGACTCCAGGATGGGCCTATGTGGCGGCTCAAGCAGGTTTGGCTCTGTCTCCACGGCGACAACCAGAGATTCCAAGGCTCACAAGCATGGGTTGGCATAACACTTGCTCTGAAATCAGGGCTCCTCCAGGTCCCCGTCGGAAGAGTTGCAGGATCGGGGCCGGACTGATTGGACGCCCATACATCTGGGGGCCGAATCCAGAGCAACGAACTCGCTCAGGCTGGTCGACGATCTGCAGGACATAATGCGGGCGGTCGCCGGGCTGTGTGGACGAGTGGAGCGAAACCTGTGGGTCAGTGGTGGGAGCGGGCGAACTGGACGGGTTCGGTTTAGTGGTGATGGAGGACCTGAGGCGGGAACAGGCAGCCCGATGGTTTGAGATATGAAAGCCGAACAGGGGGCCGTGTCGAGATGTAGACGCCAATGATGGGACAGTAAGAGCGATATGATTGGTTTGATGGCCATACCATCATTAGAAGTGGCCAAGAGGTGCGGGTACCAAAGGAGGATTCAGGCTGGACCAGTCGGTCGCTCGAAATCGAGTCAAGATATGGACATTGGACTCGACGCACCGTGCTGGGTCCGGTTTATATGGCCATCCAAGGGAGCTAGAGGCGTTCAAGCCTCTCCAGACGGGGGTCATAGATCAGTATGGCTGATTCCGCCTCTCCTGGAGACAACAGGAGCAGCGCTGATACACACCACAGCCGTCACAGGAGTTCAGACGACCCGAAGTCTCCCAGGGCTTCTGATGCAAACACAATATCTCCATTTTCTCCGTGTGGATCAGGGTCAGCATCGTGACAGGGACAACAGCGATTTACGTCCGGAGCCGAGACCCAGCCGCACAAATCGGATCTCGCGAAAGTCCCAGATGATTCAGCGCGACATGTGCACACATCTATTTTTTTTCTTTCTTTCTTTATTGTGCGCCGCCGTGGCGGCGCACTAGCCATCAGGACCCCGTGGTCCCCGGCATCTCGCTCTTCATGGAGTACATCGAGTGTTTAAAAGTCCCACTCAGGAATGTCGCCGGGCCTGGCTTGCCATCCAGCGAGTCTCCACATCAGGGTATGGAAGATCTGTTCCAGATCAGTCCACAGACCGTTGAAGGCCTGTCCCACGATGGGTTCTTCGTTTTCCAGCTTGCCAAATGCACACATCTATGCAAACAGCGCCCATGAGAGGGCCGCTGCTCGCCGGCTCGACTTGCGGCACATTTCCTGGCGGCTTTGCGCCTTTCGTTCCCCGGCATTTTTGCTGCACCAAACCCCCGCCCTGCCGCATTTCGGCTGCCAGACCTCCGTCTTGCGAGACCACAAAGTCCGCACACCGTCCGGGATGTGCGTCTTTCCACATTGCTCCAAGCGGACTGACCCAGCCGCCGCCTTGGCCGCTGTCAACGAGCCCAAGCAATCCACCCCGATGTCCGCCGATGCAAGGTTGGTCGAGGGACAGGATAAAACCAGCACCAATCGGAACGCACTGTAATTTGGATACAGCAGCAGTGACTCATACCAGGGCCTGGAGCCGTATGATGCACTCAGTTGCATTGTTTCTTGGATGCAGGCGGAGCGGCGGCCAGACAAGGGAAAACAGGCTGAGGCACACGCAGCCGAGGAATACGCGGCGAAGAGGAGCAGCCCCAAGGTCAGCGGGGCTCTGGGTCTTGCCAGTGTGTCGGTGATTTGCGGGAGTGGGCGGCTCATGTCCAATCACACAGTCCTTTTTGAATCATTTGCTGTCAAGGCCCGGACGTCCCGAGCAGTATATGAGAAAATAGGAATATATAGGGGAACAGTGTCGTTGGATAGCTTGGGAGAAACGGGTCGTCGCCCTCATGCCCACCACACAGTCCGACAGCAGATCGAGATAAACTGCCATGGGGACGTGCCCACAACACTCAGGCCCCGAGTCGTCTGTCCCCACCGCAGTGTCCCAACCCAGGATTGCCAAGCCATTGACAAGTGACGCCACCAACGGGAGTCGGCGAAACCTCATCCGCTTGGCCCATGCCCATGACCGCCGCCCTTCGTTTGTCGCCGTGACCCCCGACACTGAGTGTCTCTCTGGCCGATCCACTGATGCATCCGTACCTCGTTTCTCCTCCAAACCTCGCTATGGCGGGGGAATTGAGCGGGCTGTCCAAGAGAGATACTGGTCGGGCTCCGGACGGACTGGCGTTGGTCGCCTCGACATGCCGCCGAGACGCCCGGGCAAGGTGGGTCAAGTTCGGCGAGGGCTCAAATAGGATGCGCAGGAGAGGCTCTCGACAGGCCCCCAAAGTCTGGGCAGTGCCAGAGCCTCAATCGAAGGACCATCATCCTATCACATAGCGGCGCCTCCTTCGCTCGAACACCCCTTCCAAAACATTTCCACTGGCCTATCTCCGTAGGTCTCAAGGTTATTCTCGGTAAGTTTCAACCGAAGCGAAGCGGAACTAGGCTATCATCGTCCTCTCTCGATTGGACACTGCGGTCGTCCTGCACGCCTTGAGCCGGAGTCTCATTTTTGGTGCAGCACTGACTGATACCTGTTGCTGTTCAATTCTTTGGTCGACAGCACGTTCCCAATCCAATCATGAGAATCCGGGATCTCCTGAACGAGTCCGAGGAAGACCTCACACGGGGATCCACACAAGTATCCCCACAAGGCACCCCTGTATTTTCAGGACATCCACGGCTCCGTGTTGGGTCGCCGGCCATCCCTTTATCTGGTGTGCCAGTGTCCTCCATACTGCTCCGAAGTGGCTGTCCATGTGAGGCGCATAAAGGTGTTTCCATGTCCGGGGTATATCTGCATCCACTGGATCAGTATTGTTCCGCACTCTTGACTTCAGAAAGGGAAATAGCACTGCAGCCGACTCGTCCTCGATCCTTGGCGCCCAAGGATGCGGCCTCAAAGTTGGCTCGTTCCATCCGTACCCATGATTCACTCGTCAAAGGACCAGTTCTCAGTTCTGCAGCCCGGAAGTTGTTCATTTGCCCCCATTGTCTGATGGACTTTGGTCGGAAACAAGAGCTCAGTCGACACATCCGATGTGTGCATACAGTCGATATGCCATGGGTGTGCCCAGCCTGTCTCAAAGGATTTGGAAGGATTGATGCCTTGAGGTGCCATTTTTCCACCAAGAGGGCTCAAACCGAAGGTTGTCGATTCAAGCTCGGAGGGCTTCCCATTGCATCGTTGGTTTCACTTTCATCGGTCTCGTCTTGCCACAACGACTGATGTCCTGATGGTTCGACAAATACAGCACACCCAATACGAAACGGGCCACTGTGTGGAGCCAGAGTTGCCATTTTCCCGAATGCTGAATACACCCATCGCTCGATATTGCCGACGAGTGTCGGAGGGGACGGGCATGGTGTTTGCTTTTGGGGATGCCTCGTGGAAGCAAGGGAAGGAATACTTATCGAGTCCAATGAGACTCAGGCTCACCTCGTCACTTGAACGATTTCATCATCACCATAGCCGCCCAAGGCCAAGAGCACACGAGCGACTCGCTCGACCGACTGCTTTGATCTTGAGAAACGGTGCTTTGCACAGAGATGTCCAGAGGATCGAATGCATGCACCGCACTCTAACACTCCGTTTATTGTGGAACAAGCTGTCCTCTTGTATCCTTCAAATGAGAGATACGGAGCGCTCGCTTTGACAACTCTGCTGTAGAGTTCACACTTTGTACATGAGCATACAGGACACCCTTACGATCCCATATGTCAGCGTCGTAGGTATGGCTTGCAGCCAACAGAGCCAAATGCACTGAATCGATCGCTTTGGAAGCCTCCAAGGGAAGAATGCCTGTCGCTCCCCGGTCTCCACAATCGACATGCACTGGTGTCGGAGTGCCAGCGGCGAATGGCGCTCTTGGACACACTGAATATGGAGTCAACGCTTCTCGGGATATGGATGAGGGCGTATCACCGCATCACAGAATGATTATGGTCAGCGCGATGTTTTGAGGCAACAAAATATCAAGTCCATGGTCAAAAACCAAGGTGTCCCGTTTTTGTTGGATTGATTGTAAAAACAGTTACATCCACGAAACGCATTTTCTGCACAGACTGAGAACCAGTCTATTGCTGCAACTCCAAGTCCAGGCACAAGACGAAGGTCCTTGTGACCCCAGCAAACGAACATGGATACCCTTCGAATCTCCACCTTGTGCGCTGGGAACGCAGCACGGCTTGAAGAAGCTTCCGACAGCGAGACCAGAACCATCACTCATAACATTCATCCAAAAAACCTGCACCCATTCGGATCGAGCAGATCGACGCCGAGATCCGGACTCGGCGGCCCTGTCAGCGCTCAGTCCTGTCGTCGATCGCACGCACGCTCATTCGTCACTGCTTTCTTGTCGAGGTTTCGGCACTGCCGCTATCGACAAATATCAGTCCATTCGTTTGGTCTTCTTGAGGAGCCGACTTGGTCGTGGAATTAGGGATGTATATCGGACCCGCGCTGAACTGGATTTGCTCCTGGGTTGCGGCTCGACTGCGCTAACTACAGCAAGATCGAACAGGGGTGCGGCATCGTCTGGCAATGGTTCAAGCTCTTGCAGTGGCGAAAGTGAGTCTGTGGCTGTAGTTGTTATTGTGTATATATGCGGGAGGGAGAGATGTTGCGATGAAGTGACCCCCATCATTCGCGTGGAGAAATTGATTTTGTGCCGCAGGCAGTAGCGTTGCGATGATGACGAGGGGTTTGTAAGTCAGAAACAGTGAGATTGATGGCAACTGGGCCGGAAACAGCGAACATGGACACGGAGAGCATGTCCCGAGGCCCGGTTTGTGTGGATGCAGCAGCGGGGGCTGGTTGGCAGTGCCCAATCGAGCGGTTCTCACCTTCTGCATCGCAGTACTGAGCTTGAGCACCGAGTGGCTCAGACTCAGGCTCGAAGTCGAATTTGATGACAGACCCCAGAGCGTCCAGCGGCTCCGTGTTCAGTATGGTGGGAATGGTGGCGACATGCGCCTTGATCAGATCGTCAAAGTCGATTGTATCAAACTCGGGTTTGAAGACATCTGATCATCACGAATAGAGAGTTTTCGTCCAAATTAAAAACTGAAAGAAAGAATCTGCACACGACCCAGAGATGGATATCCAGCCTGGGCGGAAGGAAGTGAAGCAATCGGCCCGGCTTGGCACCCATGACCAGGCTTCGTGGCAACAAACATGATGGGGACGACATACCGAGGCACGAAGCGCTTGGAGGCTGATATTCGATCTCTGGCAGGTCGTCACTATCGAGGGCAAGGACCTCTGCTGATTCGGCCTGCACATTCTCGGCGGGAACAGCAATCTCCTTAGCGCGCAGCTCGGCAGGATCGACGGTGGGCTCAGCCTTGGCTTTCTTCTTCTTGGCGGAGGCCGAGCTCTGAAGAAAGGCCTTTCGCTTCTCGGATTTTTCATAGTCCTGGGTATTGACGTTGATGGGACGCAGCGGGGTTCCAGTGTTTCCTTTGGAGGTCTCGTCCAGGCCGGATGCGTAGCTCGACTTGAGCACCGAGTTGAGCAGCTTGATGTTTTCCTTGTGAGGCTTGAGTCCCGAGTTGGCGAGCTGCTGCTTCTGCTGGGTGTTGAACTTTGAGTTCAATGCTGGCCTGGCGACAGAGAGAGCATCTGATGCCGTGACGCAGCCGACGATAGACGCAGCCGATGATGAACGCAATGCACAATGCCACGAAGAGCCCAGAGAATGAGGGATCAAAAGACCGGAAAACAGCCTTAGGATGCTGGTGCAGGTGCACGGGCCCGCAGTGAGCACGCACAAGTGCTTGCAGCGTCTCACCTTTGAGCGCTGGATAGGGAAGCCGAGGAGTCTGGAAGGCCTGTTTTTGCAGCAGCGCCGACGATTTGGCGAGCTGCGCCGGGGTGTTTTCCTTTTCGCGACCAAGGCCGGGCTGGGGGCGGAACATGGCCAGAGGGCGGTCGACTCGGGCGTCGCAGATGCCAAACGAGCAGCGTGCTGGTCCTTTGGGAGTGGGGCGTGCGTTCGCTCTGACCGGCGATGGGCAAGGCGGATGAGATGGGCGAGCCGGACGAGCCGGATGAGATGATGGACGAGCCGGATGAGAGGGCGGGTTGAAGGTCGGCTGGCAAGTCCAATCCTGGCCCAAATGGCCAAATGTGCGCAGCACTGTACCACAGAAGCGCAGCACCCGCACATCCATGAAACCAGCGCCCGCCAAGTCCCATGATCGCTGCCCCGCCAAGTCCCATCGCCTTGCCCGCCCAAACTCCCTGCCTGCTGCAGTCTTTGCCCATCCAGACCGACCCCCATCTGTCGCGTGGGAGAGCGCATCAGCGTCCCGTCCGCTCGCACCTTCAGCCGCCAAAGCTACCTGACAGACTCGTCCTCCCCAGCTGTGCCAGAATTTCGCTTGCCGCTGATGGATCCGCTCAGCTCGGCTCTCGCCAAGATCAACGAGGAGGTGGAGGAGCTGGAGGCCTTTGCCGATGATTTCGGTACGCGCTCAAAAGTTCAGGCCGTGTCGTAGGCCTTGCCGTGGTGTCTCAGCGCGTGTTTTTTGCAGGGGTGTGCTCTGCTGGGCTCGTCCTTGTATGTTACCCTGGTTCTGCTGTGGTTAGTGTTGATGACGGCACTTCGGAGCGGCGACACGCCACCGGCATCTTTAACACCCAGACGTGTTTACCGCCGGTCTTAATCAGCCGCAAAGATGGACGCTATTCTGAAGGGAGACTTTAAGGACGAGTCGCTTGACGGCCTCGATCTCGCCGCCGAGATCGAGGTCGCGAATACAGAGCCCATCCAGGACCTCATCCAGAGACAGAAGGATCTCTTGACGCGCAAGGACTCGGGCAACTCCATTCCCTCGACGATTTCGAGCGGATTGGTGTCTCCGATGCCACCTTCCAGAGTGCAGAGCCAGAGCCAGAGCCAGATCTCTGTGGACATTAATCGGGCTGGATCATCTCCATCGCCGCCAATGCCGGCAAGCAATCGAACCGATGCTCTGGCTCATTCTCCAGAGATTCCGCTCATGCCGTCAGAGGACAAGATAACAGCAGGCGCCCCGCCAGAGATCAAGCTTCCACCAATCCCATTTGCGACGTGTGAACTTCGCCATGGCACGCAGCCATCCGAAAACCAGCCCCAGCCGTGCCCCAAGCCCGTCAAGAAACACGATGCCAACGACTACTCGCGCTTCGCGAAAATTGACGATGCCCAGAGCGACGATGAGCCAGACCCACGGGCTGCTCGTGTCAACGGCAAGGATTCCATCGGTACCCAGTCCAAGGAGCACAAGGGGCCATCTCAGAAAAAGAAAAAAAGCAACGTATCGAGGGAAAAGCTCTCTCGCGCAGTCAAGGACTACTGCGAGTCCATCAAGCTGCGAGGCAACAGCCTCTTCCACGCTGGAAAGTACATGGATGCTGTCGAAGAGTACACCACCGCCATATCCATCTACCACAATCCCCCTCGGGACCTGTTTCCGCCGCCGCCCGAAAACAGCGGCTCTCTCCTTGCCGAGCATCGCTGGCTGTACGAGTTGGCGCTTCCGTCCGTGCCTGTCGACCCAGCCCTTCTTACCAACCGGGCGCTATGCTGGATCCGTCTTGGCCGATTTGAAGAGGCCATCGACGACCTCTCTGCAGCAATCGAGCGGGACCCGACTTTGATCAAGGCCTACTGGAAGCGCTGCGAAGCCCTCCGACTCTCAGGCCGAGCCGATGAAGCGCTGGCGGATCTTGAACAGGTGGCCGAGCTGCTTGCACAGCACCAGCACGAGGCCGAGAAAGCGCCCCTCGGCAAGAAACCGGCACCTCTGGGCATCACCATCGACGATATCGACAGAACCAGGCGCTACATCAAGGAGATTCAGAGATTCACGTACAGCGGTGATCTAGGTCCCGAGCACGAGTCCAGCATCCGAACCATGCAGGGCTTGCTGCAGCATCTCGCCGAGCAGCTCAAGGACGACCCCGAGAGCGAGCGAGCAGCGGTGACGATTGAGTCCATCCGGAAGGTCGTTCAGTCCGAGCCGCTCTTCTGCGAGCATTTCCGCCTGGCCAACGGATTCAATCTCTTGCTCTCGCCTCCAGTGCTCTGCGTGGACTCGCTCCCCTTGATCATGCCCATCTTTGTGGACATTTGCCGCCATTCATTCAACAACCAGCGAATCCTGGGACTGTATATCGAGCCGCTTGTTCAGAGAGTGGCGCGCGCCCAGCAAGCTGAGACGACGGCACTGTTGATCCTCTTGCTTTCGCAGTGCTCGCAACAGCCCGATTTCGTCGATGCCCTCTATCGCATGAATGCTTCCTCGACGAGCCAATTTGGCGCACGCCTGATTCGACCGGACCAGTACGACAGCGACATGCTGGATGACTTTCCCGATATTCCCTACTACGGCGTCCGGCTGCTGACGCACCTGATTCGACATCGGCCCAACGGCCCCCATCTGATTCTCAACAAGTGGAAGGTGTCCGTCCCAGAGATCCTCGGAATGCTCGGTGGCTACATCCAGAGCGACGCGCTTGCTGTTATCGATCGAGACGACAGCGAAGCCGAGTCGGTGCACATGCTTCCCCATCCCGAGACCCTGGTCTCGGCTGTCTGCGAGTGCATTCATCAGATTGTCGAGCTCGACAAGTCGAGCCATGCGCAATCTGTGCACAAGCACGGGCAGGGTCTCGTGTACGGGGCTATGGCGGCAACCCAGAAAACGGCCTCGAGATACATCCAGACCCGCAAGGGCAAGGGCAAGGCCTTAACTGGCGAGCGCGATGCTGCCTTGGATCAACACATCATCCGCCACCACTTGGGCTGTCTCCTGACGACCGCATGCAACATCTTGACCACGTACAGTCAGGCGCTGCATGATGGCACCAAAAGTAGCGGGCTGGCCAACCAGCTAATCACGCTCTTGCCCACCGAGTTTCAGATGCCCTCGCTGTTCCTGCTGTCCAAGCTTCTGAGATTCAACCGCGACTCTGTGGGCAAGTGCCTCGACGGCTGGTGGGATGAGGTGGCAGACCACATTCAAGAAGCCATGGCCCAAGCCGCCACTTTGACAACCCACAACGACGCAGGGGGAGCTCTGTCTGGATATTCATCTGTTCGGGAAGAATCGGATCGCTACAGGAACGCAGCAGCACAGTTGTTGGCGGCCTGGCTGATGCTCGACTCACGAAATGCGGACCAGTGGATCGCAGGTGGAGGCGGTCGCTGGCTGGCGAGCTTGATTGTCCAAGAGGAAGATAGGCGCCGCAATTGGATGGAGAGACACGAGGAGCCGACGAACGATCTGTTTGTGGGAAACTTGGCTCTGTGTCTCGCAGAATGCACAAAGAAGGGTAAGCATAGAACGAGCGGCTCTCCGCCATTGGTGCGCAAGACTGTGAGGATATAAAGTGTGCAATCGCTTTGATCCCTCCTCGGATGGCTCAATATCGTGATCCTTTCCTTTGGATCTGCCGTCTCCAGCAAGCCACTGCGCCGAGTTTGCCAAGCACGAGATTGTCCGGAGCATGATTCATTTTCTGAGATTCAGCCAAAGCAATGCCGCAAAGAAGAATATGGCGATAGCATGCTCCAGACTCTGTGGATTCTCTGGTAAGCATGCCCGAGCATGGCCATGAGATGGTGGGGGAGCCTCGGCTGGGGATGATTTACTCCGGATCTATCCAGGGCTGCTCGGAAAGTGCCCGCAGCCTCGGGAACTGACCAGATGTCTGCTTGGGTCAACTGTGCTTACTCAGACGAGATCCGTGCGCAAGTGAGGAAGCTCGATGGCATGGAGCTGCTGCACAAATGCGCTTCACTCTGATCAAAGCGATGTCGATTGGACAGAAGCCGCTGCTTCCTTCCACCGCGACTGCGACTGCGGCCACGCGGGGAGAGTATTCGACTGCACCAAGGACAGTCACTTTCTGGCATCAGATGTCTGAAGCCTACTGAACTTCCATAGGCTCCAGTGAGCATGCCGTGCGATTGTTTTCCGTCCTGGTTGGCAATCTCTTGGTATTCGTTGGTTTGGAAAGCATAGTCTTGAATACACTCGGTCGATCCCTGTGGCGATGATCGACTGATATTGACATCTCGATGTGTGAGTGTGGTGCATCCACTCGATGTGTGAGTGTGGTGCATTCACTCGAGGGAGTGTGATGCATTCACTCGACCCTCTGGGCAGTTCCATGGTGTATTGATATCAAGATACTCGGCCTTCTTGAGTCCCTTGGCGTCGTGGCGAGTATGACAGGGGTGGGACAGAGGTGGGACGGACGCATCGGTGGCTGGCGTCGGTCTGTGTTCCGGTTTGGCTCGGCTCGAATACCCTTTTCTCGGACATCTTGCTCCACCTCCAAAAGACGCTTGCTCCATCTCCAAAGCAGCTCACTCCATCTCCAAAGCAGCTCACTCCCCCTCCCTCTGGCTGCTCCATGTCGACCTCCGCGGCTGGCGACAGCCCCTACCAATGCATCACCCACGGCCCCAAGCACGACCTGTTCATCTCATATAGAGTCGCCACCGAAGCCGCTACTGTCCAGGCTTTGAAGGAACTGTTCAACTCGGCCGCCCTCCGTCGATACAAAAAGCCCCTCACCATTTTCCACGATGTCGACTGTCTCAGCGATGCCGATGACTGGCGCGACGGTTTCATGAGTGCCCTTCCCAAGAGTGGGTCTGCTATCCTCCTCATCAGCCAGGGATCTATGAACATGATGAAGGATAGGGCCAAGAGTGGTCAAGACAATGTCGTCCTCGAAATCGAGAAGGCTCTCGAGCTCAAGGATGAAAACTCTAATCTGCCTGTCCTTCCCCTCGCAGTCGCCACCAAGGGGACAAAAGACGGTGTCGATGTCTATACTCCCTTCCAGCCTGATCCGATGTTCTTCAACGATCCTGCCTTTGGCTCTCTCAAAAAGATCATGTCTCGTTTGAGGGATATCAACGTGCGCTCCCTCGATCCCACGAAGCTATACATGCGAGTCTATTACCTCCTCACCCTAATCCGCCCTCTGCGGATCGAAAGTTGGACCAAGAGGGAACTCGACGAAAGGCACTTTTGCGACCCCAAGTTCTGGGTCGATCCTGCCCACCTCCAAACACTGTTGGAGAAGGTGACCCTGACCGGCCGTGCCATCATCTCGGGCACAGGTGGCATGGGCAAGTAGGTGCTGGCCCGCCAGTTCGTCCGCTACATGATGGATGACCTCACCGTGAGCAACGCCGCCGACTTGCAGGCCATGAGGAACGAGACCGTCACCGCCAATGCACAATATTCCGATGTCTTCTGGGTCAACTGCTCGACCGAGACGACAGCCCTCGAAGACCTGGGCCGCATTTTTCCTGGCATCAAGCCCAACAAGCTCAGAGAACATGCTGCAGAAACATTCAGCAGTTTGCCTGGCTATCTCCTGATCATCGACAATGTCGACGACATCAGCGTAGTCGACTTTATTTTTGACTACAACAAGCAGAAGGGATTCAGGGGCGACGTTGTTCTTGCAACTCGCCTGGCCTCGCTGCCCCTTGGCTCATTCCTCAAGTCGTTCAAGGCCAAAATCACTGGATACAAGCACGATCCACTCCGTCTCGGTGGCTGGGATGGCTCCACCGCGCGCAAGTACATCACATCGTCTTCGCCACTGATCGGCAACAAGCTTGCTTCGGACGAGGCCAAAAAGTCTCTCGACAACATCGTCTCCAAGGCCAACGGGTGTCCTCTTGTCATCGAGATAGTCGCGGCGTATCTCGAGAGCCACGACACTGCTCTCTCGGTACTCGGGGAGGCGTTTGCAAAGGCCCAGCAAGATCAGAGTGAGGACGACAAAGTCCGGCTGTCGCTCGAGACGGTTGTAGATCTGTCCCTTGACTCGCTGATGAAGCGCGGAATCGAAGGAGTCGAGGCAATCCGGCTGTTTGGCGCTCTCAGTCTGGTGGCGCCGACGGACATTCAGCTCAACCTCATTCAGACGATCGCTCAAAAGCTGGAGCTCAAGACTGATGGTGAGCAAATGTGCAACGTGGGTGGATGTGGTCCGAGGGACCCCCTGCTTGCACCCAACGCTGATAAATTATTCACGCTGACGGAATTTCGATGGCCCACACATGATCCTGACTATTCTGAAATCACAACTACGATCCACACGATACCACTGCCAACTCCCTCTGTCTAGCCGCCCGCCTGATCGACCTGGTCACCCAGAGCGGTCTTTTGCGAATCGAAGCCAAGAGTCGGTATTCAACCCACTCTCTTACCCAGCAAATCGCTCGGGAATACATCAAGACGCACAACGAGCTGGGAGCCGAGTCTATCGAAGACCTTACCGGTGAAGCGCTGCTGCTGCTCACGGAATCGCTCGGTTTGGAGACCCTCCAGTACTTTGAACACTTGGAGCAGCTCGCCATCAAGGTTGTCCCGGATCGATACACCAAGGAGACGCACGTCTTCTTGGAGAGCCGAGTCGGAGAGCTCGCCCAGAAGAATGGATCCTTGCGGGTGGCGATTCAGACCCTCGAGAGCAACCTCAAGCGGACGATCGAGTTCCGTGGCACCGAGCAGCACATTGATATCATCCACATCCTGAGTTTCCTGGCCGATGCCCGAGGTCAGATAGAGAACCTTGATGGCGCCGAGGAGGCCTTCAATCGAGCTGTGGCGATGGCAGATGCAACAGATGGGCTCGGCGACGATCTGCAAACCGCGCTCACCCTCAGACACTTGGGCTCGGTGGCCTTCCAACGGGGCAAGCACGACAAAGCCGCGGAGCTGCTCCAGCAGGCTCTCGATCGGCAGATCAAGATCCGTGGCTCCAGGGCGCATCCAGACGTTGCTGATACCCTCGATTGCATCGGAAACGTCAAGAAAGATCAGGGAAAGTGCGACGAGGCCGAGAAGCTGCATCGAGAGGCCGTGGACATCAGAGCTAAATCGCTCGACACGCTCGACCATCCCGAAGCCGCCCCGGCCCCCGGCGCTGCCTTGTCGAAAGGCGACTACGATGCCATGTCCAATTACTTCCAAAAGTCGCTCGAGCTCCAAAAGGATTTGCACCCCTCGCCACACCATCCTTCGATCGCCACCTCCCTCGAGTTCCTTGACAAGATAACCAAATCGCAAGGACGGTATAAAGATGCGCCCAACCTTTACAAACGGACTGAGGACATTGGCGGAGCAGTCCGCGACCCGCACGAGAACATTGATGTCGCCACCATTGCCACCCGTCTTGGTCAGGTTGCCAGCGCACAGAAGGACTTTAACGCCGCCGAAAGGTACTATCAAGAGGCTGTGGACATCAGAGCCAAGTCATATGGCACGCGTGTCCATCCCGAAGTCGCCACCGCCATCGACAAGCTCGGGGACGCCGCCTTGTCGAAAGGCGACTACGAGGCCGCCGTCAAGTACTTCCAAGAGTCGCTCGATATCAAAACCCAAGTCTACGACTCGCACGAGCACGGCGAGATCCGAGTAGCTCTCCAGCATCTTTCCCAGGCAGCCGCGTCTTTGGGTGACTACGAGACCGTGCTCAAATGCAACAAAGAGTTGGCTGACCGTGAAGGAAAGATCAACGATTCAAAGAAGAGCCCCTTGATCGCTGTGGTGCCCGTTGCGGTACAAGCGAGCGCCATCGAGTCGGACGACCAGGACACCAACGTGAAGGATCTCCAAGAGATGCTCAAGAACGAAATCAAGATCCACGGGACGAAATGGCACAAATCGGTCGCCCAGATCAACATCAGGCTGGGAAACGCCTCTTATCACCAAGGACAGTACGAGGCCGCTCACCAGTACTTCCAGGAGGCGCTCAACATCGTGACCAGGATAACCGGGCGAGAAGATCATCCTGACACCAATGAGATTCTCGCGAAAATATCTTTGGTGAACGAAATGCTACCGTCTGACGAGTGGGAGGACGACGAAGAACAGCCGGCTCGTTAAGCACCGACTGGGACACTGGTCATCGTTCAAGCGCCATTTGGCCCCTATGCTTTCGCAGCCGCCAGGTCTGCGCTCGAAGCCAGAGCGGACAAGAATGATAAAGATTGCTCTGCCATCGTCCCAGCTCTCTCCGCCAGATCCGCAGCCTCCAACACATCCCACGCGATCGATCCCGAGTTTGCGTCAACGACGGCGATCAGAAATACATATTTGACAATCCGATACGCTACGACATCATAGGCCGACATCGCAGCCTGGTCGATCCAGCAGCCGCAGGCTCACAGATCTGCTTGGGTAGGGGATTGCGTCAGCTGCGACTGCGATCCATCGACAGCCAGTCTCCTGCTCGGCCAAGGACTGAGACGGCTGCAGAGGAGCGAAAGTAAGCGGTCCCTCGAATGGCGGTGTCGCAACCATCGAGCAGATCTGTGGCTAGCAGTCCCTGTCGGTCACCATGCGTCTTTGAGATCAAGATGGGTCAGCGGAGACCTGAAAACGAAGCTGTCGCTCACTGAGAAGCTGCCTCTGCTCCGAGCTGATCGTTTCCGACGGGGGCGGGCTTGGAGGATGCGACGTTAGCGCCATAGGGCCCACGCATCCGCTTTCGGGGGTCGACCTGCCAAAAGTGCATGTGAGGCGGGAAAGGTCAGTCGATCGAGCGCAGCGACAGGGTATCGTATCGGGTGTGTCGCAGCGTGAAGCGCATTGTGTGTTTGCCCATGCATCCTGATCGGCATGTGGGTGTTTGACGAGGGTCCATCAAGTTCCAGCCGCAAGCCTGTTGGCGGATCATCTTCTGATTCTGTCCAGTGTCTCGTTCAGCACCATCATGCTCGACACCTCGCTCATGTTGGCAAGCAGCCGATAGGGACGGGTCCGGTGACTGCGGCGACAGAGCACATCGATACCTACGGTGCTGTGTTTGCAGTCCAGGTAGATCTGCTGGGCAAGCCGGCATTTTCTCGGCACAGAGTCGTCGTATTCCTTCAGGAGACATTCCTTGACCGAATGGCGCTGGACCAGGACGCAGTCGCTCTCGAGAAGACAGCTGACGAGATCATCGAAGAAGGCTTTGCAGCTGGGCATGGTATCGGCGTGGGTGCTGGGCAGCGGCGCTGTATTGTCGGAGTTTGCTGTTGGCTGGATTGTGCAGCACCTGGGTCAGAGTCGCGGCCTGGCTGCGTTGGCTGCTGATGGTGATGGATCTTGCGAATAACAAAACCGCAGGACGATTCTGCACCAGCATGAAGCGAGAGGGAGGCGAGGATCTCCCTTGCTCTCGGCGAGAGGGCCGAGACGGTGCGCAGCCGGCACAACTCCAAGCACAGGGCACCAGAACGCAACGAGAGCACACCAGCAGAGCGCAAACCAAATGAAACGAATTGGACTGGATTGGACTGAATTGGACTGGATTGGACTGGATTGGACTGGATTGGACTGGATTGAACTGGATTGGACTGGATTGGACTGACTTGAAACGAAATGAGCCGATTCCCAGCGGGCGAGAAATCGCCATTCATCCGCTTGACATGGCGAGGGAGGGAGAGCCACGGCTTGGACATACTCCCATGGGCTCTGAATGCGGGGCGGGACAGGCCCGAACCCGCACGGTTGCATGGATGGCATTGCGGGGTCATGGTCATGACTGAGTGTTGCCCGTGGGCACCAGCCGGGCAGCGCAGGCGGTTGATGCAGAAAATCGCAAGAGTGGCGACCACAAAAACGCAAGATCGACATGGACGCGACCGACGCGAGCGCCGATGATGGACTGCAGCTTCATCGACAACCCGCCGTGGCCCGGGATGGACCGGCGGCTGGAGGAAGCAGCGGACTCGGGCGATATGATTTGGAGATGTGCTCCAGCGACCTGCTCCGGCGACGTGCTTGGGCACTCCTGGGACGAGGGTCCGTGGGAACATCGGGTGCCAGGACGAAGATCGAGGACCAGAGCCGCGTTCGGCGCCACCGGGCACAGCCCACACAGCCGACGCGTCGGCGCGGATTGGCCGGCGGGGCGGGTCACGCGAACTGTGCTTTTTTGGGCAGACCGCGCCGCGCGGGCCTTGTCGTCCAAACGCGGCGGAGAGGCAGCGCGCACCCGCGCGCATGCGCGTTGCCGCCCTTGCGGAGCCCGAGCGCCGGCGTGCCCGTGGCTGGCGCTGCCACAAACGGAAAGGCAATCGACGTGTGCGGTGCCAGTTCAACTGTGTGTGTGGTGCTGGCTCGACTGTGTGTGTAGTGCTGGCTCGACTGTGTGTGTAGTGCTGGCTCGACTGAATGCGCGTATCTTCTATGGCACATCGAAAGCGAGCGCCCAACAATCGCACATGTGCCGTCAAGCACACGGCGAGTGCGCAATCGCGACTCGGTCTGCGCTGTGCATCAATGTCGACTGGTGCTGTGCAGGCCGCCGAGTGCACGCCGCCAATTGGTCGGGCTTGTTCCGCGTCGCCTTTCGTCGTCACGTTGGCCGCGTCTGGCTGTGGCCATTTCGCGCAACTCTGAGCATCACCCGTATCCGTTGTGAGGGCATTGGCTGCAAAGTGGGTCGCCGTCAAAATCGTTGAGCCGTTAGTATGCATCTGTGGATGTGTTGTTCCAAGCGTGTCGCCAACGAGCATGTCGATATCTGGATATATCTGGATATATCTGGATATCAATGCCCCCTTTGCGAGCTTGATCAAGTCCTCGCCGCCTCCATCCGCTGGATCTCTGGATCTTGCCTTGGCGCGCTTCGCTTGCTTGCTCCAGCCACTGCCGCACAAGCTGCCTCTGCTGCTGCCTCTGCTGCTGCCACCCACACGTTCCCGTCCACAAGCCGGCGCTGTCCTACTGGCCAGCCGCGATAAGGAGCGCCGGCCTTTGTGGTCGTTGCTGTTTGCGGCTGCCTTGCCCCGTCGCCGCCCAGCCAACACCACAGCGCCCACTGTGCTGCCGAGGCTCCAATCCCTGACGGCCTCGTCGGCCTCGTTTCCAGCGTCCGTTCGTTTAAAGCCCTCTGCCGTGGCCTCCACCCGCCTCCGTCGTCTCCGCCTTTCCTTTGGGAACCTGCTCCCCTCATCCCTCTCCCTCCATCGCTCGCTGTTCTTCCCATTCCCCCTCCAGCTCAGGTTCTCCAAAGAGGCTTCTCTTGCTCTCCGTCCACATGCTCGCCAGATCCGTCGCCGCCTTTGCGCTTGCCGCCGCCTGGGGCTCACTCCAGGCCAATGCCCAGACCAGCCCCCAGTGTGTTTCTCTCGCAACCGCCGATCCATGCAAGGAGTTTGCGGGTAAGTGGCATGTTCGGTGCCAAACTGTCTCTCTGGCCAGCAGCGGTTGGCGGACCGCGGCCTGTTGGCCAGGGCTGCATATGTGCCTGCCCGAAAGCCATCTGTCTCCCGCAGCCCCTGCCTGTCTCCCACTTGCCTCCACTCGGTCGCCAATATCGAGATTGGGCGATTCATCGCTTGGAATAAGCCTGACCCTGTTTTATGCCACTCTGGTCGCCACTCCCTTCGCCTTTGCCCCACTCTCTCTGTAAACCGCCGTCCCGCACCGTTCCCCGATTCCAGCCGACTCGGTTGTCGTCCCCAACGCCATGGGCTACACCGACCTCAGCAGCTTCAACAGTCTCACATCCAACTGGCTTGCAAATGCCCCGGTTCGCTACCAGTGCCCAACCTTCAACTACCACATCGTTCCTTATTTCACCTCGGTTCGCTGTGGCCTCGAGGTCGACCGTGCCACTCAGACGACCTCCACCACCATCAAGTGCAACGGCAATGCTGCCCCTGCTCAGATTTGCGCTTCATCTGTCAAGGCCATGATTGCTGGCATCAATCAGGCCTTTGCTGCCTGCCCTGCCTGGCCCGACAGCAGCACCAATCTGCGTACCCAAGACATGAATGAGTATCAGACCTTGTTGGGCGATGTCACCGATAGCCCCGGATGCATCTCGGCTATCTCCTACGAACAATACTGCGGTAGGCATCGCCATCTGCATACACTCGCCGCCAACCTGTCTTTTAGGCGATATATCACTAATGGAATGTGCACCCTCTGTCCGGTCCCAGGCTACTTCTACCTTACCGATGCCCAGGCCTACTGCGCCCAGACCACCACCGATCCCTGCTGCAAGGCTGCGAACATGGGCGGCAACAATGCCACCTCCGCCGCCGCCGCTGCCACATCAGCGACCCCCAAGATCTCGGTTGCTGCCGCCACCACCTCAAAGCCCAGCGCTGTGTCCACTTCGGCCGCGACCGACTCGTCCAGCTCCAGCTCCAGCACCAGTCTGTTCTCTAGCCCGGCCGTCATTGGCGGCATCGCTGGTGGTGGTGCCCTTCTTCTTGGTGGCATCGTTGCCGCCGTGATCGTTATGCGCCGCAGAAAGGCCAACCAGCAGGATAGCTATGACGACTACAACGGCGGCAACAGCTATGACAACCGCCAGACCTTTGCCTACGGTGACGCCAACAACGCTGCTCCCCAGACCATGTACGGAGGCAACGACAAGTCCATGTACGGTGGCCCGCAGACCATGTACGACGGACCCCAGACCATGTATGGCGGCAACGATCAATCTATGTATGGCGGCCCGCAGACCATGTATGGTGGAAACGACAAGTCTATGTACGGCGGCCCGCAGACCATGTACGACGGTCCTGATGCCGGCCAGGTCTCGGAGACCATGGAGGTTATCTACAATTACACCGCCAACCTGTCCGACGAGATCCAACTGAGTACGTAGCCACACCTGTCCCATCGTAGCGCGAAGTGCCATCGTTTGTTACGCTTCCAGTCTGCACCATCACATGCGCCCCTCTAACCGCGAATCTTCACTTCCCAATCGCGCCCCGATTTGCTTTCAGACATTGGCGATACCATCATTGTCAAGTGCAAGTTCGATGACGGCTGGGCCTTTGGATTCAACGTCAGCACCAGTCAGGAGGGCTCGTTCCCGCTGGCCTGCGTCGATGTTCCCAACGGCGGCAGCGGTGCCCCGCGAAAGAACGAGGGAATCCGCCAGCGTGCCTCGTCGCTGTACATGCCCGCCAACTAGATTAGACAGCTTCCCACAGTCCCTTCTTGCGCCCTGGCCACCATCACCGACCCCTCTCGTTCCCTGTTCGAGATCCCTCCACGACCGCTCACGACCACTCACGACCACGACCACGACCACGACCACGACCACGACCACGACCACGACCACGACCACGACCACGACCACGACCACGACCACGACCACGACCACGACCACGACCACGACCATGACCACGATCCCGTCACCGGACTGTCTGTGATCCCAATCTTTGCCGAGCAAATGTGCACTTTATTCCACGTCCACTCACCCACCCCATGTGCATATTCTCTGGCCGGACGGGACAAACATGATTATCCTGCCAGTCAACTCGCTCCCCGACTGCTTTGCATTTTGGCGGAGGAGAGTTGCGTCTTGGCCCTCACTCTCCCTCATCCAGTCCCTGCCGGATTTTGACTTGCATTTTGTGATTTGCTTTCGTTTTCTTTTGTGCTCTATTTCGCCCTCGGTGGCCACTGTCCTCGGTGCTGCTCCGTTTTGGAACACGCGAAACGGCTTCGTCCATGATGGCAAGCAATGCATCACCTTTATCAAATCAAAGGAGGGGAGGGGCTCCGTTCTGCAGATCATCCATCCGATCAAAGTGTTCGATCGCGAGCACTCCAATCCCTCGACTCCTCGTTCATTCGGCCGGCAATAGTGTGGTGTTTGGCAATGAATCGTGTTGGTTCTTTGCCGTTTCTTGAGAATGGCGGCTCTTGTGGGGTCATCAGCACAAACGAGAGTGAGGGTGGCAGCAACAAACCAGGGCCATAGGCGAATGTCACCGATGAGCATCGCAGATGAATGCACGACCCGCTTCTGCACATATATATTGGCTCTGAATGATGCTGTCTGCATCGCAGCTGATCCCGGCTGAGACCGCGGCCGTCAACCTCCCGTTTGGACATCCCATGAACGCATGAATCAAGGCAGGCGGGGGGATGGCTTGGGCTGTCGTCATTTGCCCCCTGAGACCAAACCGGCAACCACCTTGCGCTTGTACATGTCCCAGTTCCGCTTCTCCAAAAACACGTCCTGCAACCGCTGTACTGGTACGATGTAGCTCTCGCGATCCATCAGGACCGACTTGACCATCTCGTTTGACGCCAGACGCACATAGTCGACCCGAGACATCACAGCGATTTCGCACTTGGTATTTGCGACTATGGAATAGTACGAGCCCAGGGCCTGGTCGTCCGGATCCTCGTAGGTAAGCCGGGCGATGAGCTCAAGCTTGTTGATGTTGCGCTCCTCGTCCGAGAGGGCCATCTGAATACTGCTCTCTTGGTTGCTGTAGTGTTTGTATCGCGGGAACTCTGGGTAGAGGGAGCCCGGGGTCAATTCCATCGCACACAGCATTTGCTCGACCACTTCGTCTGTCTCCTCCAGAGGCATGCCATCCGTGTATGCCACCAGGGAGTACTTTTTGCCGCCGCCGATGATCGTCCCGGTCTCGCGCTTCACAAACTTGACTTTCTTCAGGGCTCGGCAGCTGCCCTTGAGGATCCAGTGGACGCATGCCGACTGCGCCCCTTCGACAATCATGATCTCGCGGGCCTCGTACTGCATGATCTGGCAGGCCTGCACCAGCTTCTGGGTCACGGCTAGATTGCTTGA